TTCAGCAGTGTTGTCTATCTTGGTCTGGAGAATAGTGAAGCTGGGGCCCTCATTTGGCTCTTGTGGTAAACTAGATGAAGGGACTATAAGGATTGTCAGTTTTGAACTTGTGGGTCTTTGGATTTATACCACTGATAGTTGGCTTTAGAAAACTGGGCAGTGATAAAAACAATGCTTTTTTTTTTTTTTGGCAGTTTGAACTCAGTAGGGTCTTGTGCTTGCTAGACAGGCACTCTACAACTTTAGCCATGCATCTAGCCCAGCCCTTTTTGTTTTAAGTTATTTTTCAGATAAGTCCTCACTTTTTTGCTCAGGGCTGGCCTTTGCAAGCAATCTTACTGATGCCTTCCCGCTAGCTGAGGTGACAGGCACACACCCAGCTATCAGTTGAGATGAGGTCTTGCTAACTTTCGGCCAGGTTGGCATCAAACCTCCACCTTCCAGATATCTGCCTCCCAAGTAGCTGGGATTATAAGTATGAGGCACTGCACATAGCTGTTTTTAAATGTTTCCTGGGTAAGTAACAGATTTACTCTGCCCCAGGTCTCTGTTGTGGCCAGCAGTCTGCATTAGGGCAGATAGGCAGTTTGAGAGGTACAAATTATTGAAGCCCAAGGCACTTTATTTTGACCATATAACCTTAGCTTACTTTCCACTGTGTAAAAATCAATAGCAAAATTACTGTTGTGGGATATAGTGATTATATTAAGCTCCTGTGCCATCCTCTGTCTAGATACTTATCTGTAGTCATGAGCTAGCTATACAATTTTAGCTTTTTGTGAATGGATATCATATATCTAAGGTAGATTCTGCCAAGAACGTAAGTTTAAAACGAAAACTCTTCGGGTGTCACTGGATTGTAATGTGCTAGGAGATCCTCTGCTCAAGGACATTGAGAATCAAGCACTGAAATTGAAAGAGAACTCAACACCTAGTCAGAAGGCTTGGATTCCTGGGCTGCAGTCTGTCACAAGCCTATCTGTTTGAGCTTAGGCACACCTTTTCCCTTTGGGGCCTCTGCTTATAAAGTGAGAGTGTTGTACTTGTTCTCTAAGGTACCCTTCAGCTTCTGAATTCTGTGCTTCCCAGGGGCTGAGAATTGCATCAGGGCCCAACCTGGGGTTTGTGCTGTTTTCAAGGCCCAAAGAAGTGCCTCATCCTTTTTTCCAAGGAGGTAGGCTACATCACCTCCATAGACCCAATAATGCAGTGAGCTGGCAGTATGGTGAGGTGCTTCTTCATTAGGGACTGGGTTGTTTGTAGTAACCTAGAAGAACTTAAGAATGATGCCAGGAGATGTAATTTCTGTGATAACTAGTTGCCTACTCAGAAAGCTTGTCAACACCCACACGATTACAGTATCATTTTGTCTCTGGAGTTACAGAATTTAGAGGTACATTTCCTTTTAAAGTGTTCCCTTTTAATTCCAGGACTCCCATTATCTTCTTAAAATTCAAACCAATTTCCAAGAAAATAGATTTTTGCCAAATTTAATTTTAGAGGTTAGTGAAAAATGTGTTCATATCTTAATCTTAAGGCTTTTAAAAACTTAGTTTGCACTTACTGGTTCTTTGCTATCACCTTAATAGTAGTTATATTATTTTTCATTCAGTGCTATAAAGAGTTGATGATGTCTACAGTCATCTTTTGACATTGTTAACCTCTATTTCTGTGTTCATTAGAAATTAACACCTGAAAGAGAAAAGCTGATCTGAGTGATTATTCTTCCATCTTTTCATTTATGCACACTACTTAAGTGTATGGTGTAATCACTGCTGTAATATTATATGAGTTTTTATCTCATAGAAATCATAGCGTACGTTGGATGATAGCAGACTCCTGGTCTTTCTTAGGTTTTCAGTGCCACTTTGCAGAAATGAAGTTGTTGATAGCAACAGAGGACCCTAGGGAATGGCCACCAAGAACTTTAGGTGGTTGCAGGGGTGTTACAGATAAGCTGTTTTCATGGACAGTTCTCAAGGGAACCCAATACTTGCCTAATGTTAATTGTAATGTAATTACTAAGGGTATTGTTTTAGTCCAATTTGAGCTGCTATAACAAAATGCCATAAATGGAGTGGCTTATATACAACAAAAATTTATTTCTAATGCTGCTAGAGGTTGAGAAGCCCAAGATCAAGGCAATAAAAGATTTTCTGATGAGGCCCACTGCCTAGAAAGTGGCGCTTATAGAAGTGAGTTCATACAAGGGGTACATAGAAAGTGTTTCCTTACTTGATATTAACATGGTAGAAAGATAAATTAGCTTTCTATTCATGAAGACTCCATCTTCATGATGTAATCACTTTCCAAAGACTACCTGTCACCTCCTCATGCTATTAACTTGGGGGATAGGGTTTCAGCATAGGAGTTTTGGGGGACAGGTAAGCATTCAGTCCATGGCAGGTGCAAGAACATTTAAGTACTCATTTTCCTTCTAAGCTTTCACACTCTTACTACAACAGTGTGGGTAGGTACCCAATAGGAACATAACTCAAACCAGTATCATCATCTTTTCTTCAAAATATCTTCTGTCTCTGCAGCTTAAGGTGGCACCTCTTAATCAGTTTCCCAAACTTGAACTTGAAAGTTGGGAATTATCTATATTACTGTCCATATCTAATAAATCACCAAATCCTGTTTGCTCTGCCTCCAGAAATATCTTTCAAATCCATGTTACTTTTTAAATTTGTGGTGGTGGTGCTGAGGATTGAACCCAGGGCATTGCACATTGTAGGCAAGTGCTTTACCACTGAGCTATATCCTCAGCCTCATACTACTGTTTAAAATCCCCAGTGTCATGCTAGTTCATAGCAAATGCAGTTTATTTCTTTCTGGACTTTTAAAATCTTAAATAAAAATTTACTCTGATGCTTAACAATCTATGACTTTTGTTTTATTGTTGTGAACTTTGCTTCCTTTTGCTCAATTCTGTGTTATGGAAATTTTTCCACTAAAATGTCTTTAATGATTCTTAGTTTGGGTATATAAAATATGATTTGTATTGTAATTTAATCATTTCCCAGTGAATGGACATTGATGTTGTTTTATATTTTTCTTTTGCTATTATAAAGAAAATTGAAATAAATGTCCTTGAACTTGTCTTTTTGCATGCATACGTGTGCCAGTAGATAGATGATAAAAAGTGGAATTTCTTGGTCAAAGTGAATATACATCTAAAACATTAATAAATTGCTTTTTACAAAAAGTTTCTACCAATTTTACTTCTCTTCATTATTTTTTGTGAGCCTGTTTTTAGTTAATTAACTAATTAATCAATTGATAATTTGTTCATTGCTAGGGATAGAACCCAGGGCCTTGTGCTTGTAGGAAAGCATTCTCCCACTGAGCTACATCCCCAGACCCTAAAGATTTTTTTGATGGTACTAGGATTTGAACTTACGGCCTCATGCTAGCTAGACTATGTTTGAGCCATGCCCCCAACTTTACCAAACCCATTTTTAATATGAACCTAGGGACTCCCATCTAGCCTCAGTTCTCTGACGTGTTCCTTCATTTACTTGGGCACTGTTAGCCACTGTTTGGGTTTGTGTTCAGTACAGATTGTGTGCCAGGCACTGCTATATGACACTGGATAAGACAAAAATGGTCCCTGCCCTATGTAGCTTCACTCTTAGTAAATGGAACTTTGCTGACATTTCCAGTCTCGTTTTATACATTTGTAGTTGCTGTTCTCTTGTCCTGATGTGACTTTTGTTCTTTAAACTTTTCTGCTTAGAGAATTTCTTTTACCCTTTCAACTAGTTTAAATTTTATCCCCTCCCATTATCATTACACCTTCAGGTTGATTAGATGGGCCTTCCTCAGTGTTCTGTTAGTATGCACTGGCCTCCTCCTACAGCTTTTCCCCTGAAGACTTCTGATTAGTCGTTCGTATATGCATGTGCTTGTGTATGTATATGCAGACACACTCAGCAAGAACAAGGAACTGTGATATTTACCTGAGTGCATCCTCAGCTTAGTGCTTTAAACATGCTGAATAAGTGAATGAAGAACAAGCTATCTGATGAAGTTAGTTTTGCAGAGCACTATGAGGGTGGTAAATATGAGTAAGAACTGGTCTGTCTGCAAGGGCCTGACCATGTAGTCAGGAAGATAAGAATAGATGAGTAGACTACAGGGCAGATTGTGATATGCTTGATTTAGAACTTACCACAAGTGAATTCTTGAGAATTTAAAAGGAGAGATGAATTTTCATGAATGAGATATTCTGGTAAGGGTACCTGTTGGTATCAGGTATTGTGAGGGATATAATGACAGTAAAATAGTGTCACTGTCTTTAGGAGTATTATAGTCAAATAGGTAGAGTTGGGATTGGCAAAGCAGAGCCTATGTAGTAAATGTGGCCTCTGCTTCTTTTCATATGGTTCATGAACTAAGAATGATTTTTATGTTAAATTGTTGATTAAAAAAAAAAGAGTATTTTGTGACAAGGGAAAATTAAATGAAATTTAGATAATCAGTGTGCTTAGTTAAGTTGTGTAGGAACACTGCCATATTCATTTACACACTATGACAACACATCAGCTGAGGTAAGTAGATGTAACAGAATATTTCATTTGCAAAACCTAAAGTATTCATTGTCGGGTCAGTACAGATCTAGTCCCCTGACTGCTGGGTTAAGAATGGGAAGATTCAAGAAAAGTAGGGAAATGACATTCATATTGAAAGAAATAATCCAAGTTAAGCAGTCATATAAAAGCTTTAAGGCTAATATGATCAAGCTTAGCCCTCTTCTTTTACAAAATAAGCAGGTTAAAAATTGTGTCAAAGTCCACACGGCTCATAAGTGGCCGTGTTATACGGGAAAGACTGGTACAGAGGCTTTGAGGGCTGCAGGACATGATAAGATTATTGCTAAGGTGGGGCCAGATCATGAATGGCCTTGTCTTTGAAAATTGAGAGTTGAAAAGCAAACTAAAAACAGACTTCCTTTTTTTCCTGAATGTAATGTGTCTGTTTTTCTCTTGGATTTCTAGAAGGCCTTTGAGCCTTACTTCGAGATTTTGGAAGCATACTCCACAAAAGCCAAGAATTATGTAAATGGGCATTGCACTAAATATGAGCCCTGGCAACTAATTGCATGGAGTGTCGTGTGGACCCTGCTCATAGTCTGGTTGTATGAGTTTATCTTCCAGCCAGAGAGTAAGTATACTGCTCCTTCTGTACAGGTACAGTGGAATGTCATTAAGCTTGGAGCTCATGGCTGATGGTTTAGACTCATTTCTTGCCTTTTGGTTTGCTTCTGATTTTTAAAATCTGTTTAAATGGAAAGTGGTTCCTTGTCTTCTGGTTGGGCTCTTGAGTAACTGCTGCTGTGTATGTTGCTTTTATTTATTTATTTTTTTTATTTTGCATTTGCAGCTTTCATAAAAACTCCTCAGAAATTAGTCATTGTCAGAATCCACAGGTGTCTCAGAGGGTGGCTTAAGCCTTCTTTAGTACCAGTTTTTCTTTAGAACATAATTGTGTCATTTGGAGTTTCCAGAGCAGAAATTTATTGCTTTCATTTTGGCTTATCATTTTTAATAATGATTAAGTGAATTTGGAGCAGCACTCATATGGCTGCTGTTTGAGTGCCTGGTAGGTGCCAGGTACTGCACTAGGCTCTGGGGGTGTCTGCATAAGTGTTATACTGTTCCTGTCCTCTTGGAGTCAAACTTCTGATGTTAGGGAATAGTAGTAGTGAGTCAGGGAAGCCGATCACCCTGGGAAGAGGAGGCCATTCTTACGGAATGCAAAAGATGAAGCATATCTTAACAATCTGCTTATAAGTCTCCAACCTTCCTAAGATGCAAGGCTCTCTCCTGCCCACCCATCTCCTTCTCACCTAGAAACCTGGGTGTATGTGACCTTGTGAATTATTTCCCCCCACAGGCTGTACTTGGAAAGTTTTGTTTGAGCACCCCGATCCAGTTTTAGTACATGTGCTGCTAAAGCGAGCACCCCACCTAAATCCAAATAGTAGCTGATTTGATGGAATTCTGTCCGCCCTGGCCTGCGCTCTTTCCCCAGGCTTATTTTGGTGCTAACTTTCTTGATATGAGAAATCAATAGCATTAAAGAGAATCTAGTCATTTCTCATTTGTTTGAAGTTTCTAAAATGTTTTGCATCCCTGATAATATCTGCCAAGGGGCTCTTTTATTTGTAATAGCACTGGGTTTGAACTCAAGCCTTACACTCTTTTAACTGTACTTTTTCTGCTGCATCTGCTCAATGGCTTGAATGTGGCTGTAGCCTGTGTTGCCTATTCATGCACACTCCTTTCCCAGGGAGCATCTGAGTAAGTGAGGAAGGAGCCTATTACCCTGCAAGGTATACTTTTCTTTCTTTTTACTGTTTGAACTCAGGGCCTCATGCTTGCAAGCCAGGCGCTGTACTATGTGAGCCCCTCCACCAGCCCTGTTACAGTGATTATATACGTATACTCACCTGCTAGCCCTGAACATTCCATAAGAAACTTTTAGTATATTAATGAGGTACGCCATCTAAGTCTTTGTGAGCTGAACTCTAAGTCATTTTAGTTTTATTTTTAATAATATATATTCGTATTACAAAAGCAGTACATAGTCACTGTAGGAAATTTAGGTGATATGGATAACTAATAGGAACAAAATTAAAATCTTGCTACCAAAGGATACCACTAGTTATGTGCCTGTATCTGTGTCTAATCTAAATCAGATTGAACCATGAATGTAGTTTTTAGAGGTCAAAAGTAACTGATTACTGGCAGTTTCCTTCAGCTTACCGGCAGTTTCCTTCAGCTTACCACAGACATACAGATACACACACAACAGTTTTTATTTTGCAACTTCTGTACTGAATTTCAGACACAGATAAGAATGTCTTTCCTCTGAGGATTAGGATAATTTTGATGGAATTGCCATGTATGCTATGTATTGCTGAACAGTCGAGTTATGTTTAATATATTGCACCATAGGACTCTGGACTAGGGTTAAATTTGGCTGATCTTTAAACTCTGACTAAACCTTCTAAGGGTGGGGGGAAGAGGGTAATTCTGGAACAAAGAAAAGACTCAGGGAGGTAATAACTAGAAGCAGCAAGAGCTGGGGCAGGGGTAGCAGCACTCTGAAGCACTATCTCTTCCTTAGTTCTGCTTTGCGATTATCAGCTCATAGCTTACTCCTTTATACTTTGGTGTTGGTTTTGGCTGTGGGGTTGTCCATAGTGCATCAACAGAAATCAACCTTCTGTGTTGCCAGGAGGTACCATGTCTTGCAGGGTACCTTCAGCAGCACCTTTAAGTACTCTTAGCCCGTTTCCTCACAGTCAAACAGGCATAGTCATACCTGCCTTAACCAGTCATGGGTTATAGGAGCATCAGTTCTGTGAAAGGAATTTGCAAACTGTGAAGAGCTATGCATTGTTCTAACATTGGCAATTCCTATTTTAGCTTGAAAATTCTTTTTTTTAATTGACAAGTAAAAAGTATATATATACCACATGAGTTTTTCATAATGTATACAAAGTGAAGTGGTTAAATCTAAATAACATGTTCATTACCTTGCATACTTTTATGTGATGAGAACCCTTAATCCATACTCTTTGTAGTTTTCAAGTATATAATATATTGTTATTTCCTATATTCACCATGTTGTACAATAGATCTCATGAGGTTATTCCTCATGTCTAATTGGATTTTTTTTTTTTTTGGTATGGGAGTTTGAACTCAGGGCTCTGTGCTTGCTAGGCAGGCACTTTACTACCTGACTCACACTTTCGGCCCCTAAGAGGAATTTTGTATCATTTGACCAACATCTTCCCAAATCTCATCCCATCACCATACCTGGTAACCACCACTAAAAAATATTGAAAGGCAGGACTATAAATGGGTACAGTGTGTGTGTGTGGGTTGCGGGGGGGTACCAGTGGGAGGGAGGAGGGTGAATGAAGGAGATTAAGGTGAGGGTTTATGGTGGATGGACTTCATATACCTATATGAAATAGAACAAAGAAACCTCTTGCATTTGCTTTAAGTGGGGTGGGGAGGGAGTGGAGGGAGAGAGATAATGGGGGTGATGTAACTAATGTACAATATAAACCTAATTGGAATTGTCACTATGAATCCCTCCCATGTATAACAAATATATCGTAATAAAAAATTATTTAAAAATTCTTACTGCTTTTCTTTCTGGACCTCTGGGACTTTTACTCTTGAGATTATCTCTTTAGGTCATATTACCTTTTCTCCATTGTTGATCTTGTATTTGTTCTTTTTTGCTTGTCCCATTTCTTTCTCAGCCACCACCTAGTCATATTACTACACTTTTGGACAGATTGCCCAATTTGTTGATACTTAGATTGCTTTTGACTTCATTAATTACTTCATCCATTCAATAAGAGAGCAATTCTGATTCCTTACAACTTTAACATAGTCAGAAATAGTTGAATAAAAAGCAGCTTTAATATCCAACATTGTTATTATTTTGGGGCACTATTGGGGTTTGAACTCAGACCTTCATGCTTGCTAGGCAGGCATCTTACCACTTGAGCCATTCTGCCAGCTCTGTTTTATGTTGGGTATTTTTGCGATGCCTCGAACTATGATCCTCCTGATCTCTGCCTTCCAAGTAGCTAGGATCATAGGGGTGAGCCACCAGTTACCGGCTTATACTTACGTGATAACGTGTAAAAATATGTTTTGGAAGAATTTTTAATAATGTAGAAATGCAGTAAATGAGAAAAGGATACAGTTACTTTATAGCCATTGTTACAGAATGTAGAACAGGACTAAAAGGAAATACTAGAAGGAAATACAGAGAAGAAGACACAAATAAGTAGTTCTGATCCCTTTGTCTTAATATTTAGTGTGTATCTTAGTTGGTTGGTTCTGACCCACATTTACAAAGTCTTGATGATAGGTTGAGGTAGAAAGACAGTGCAGCCTATTAGTAAAGCTGCAAGGCATCATGCAATAAATTAGAGATGATGGTGAGGGGTTGGAGAGGGAAGTTAGAATGACCAGGCCTCCTAGGAAAGCAGTAAAGGTTCATGTTCAGTTCATGCCTTACATAAAAACTGAGTCTCTAGGGTCTTATGGACTCATTTGTGTAATAGAAAATTGCTTCTGTGCAACGAAACAGGATAGTATCCTGGGAGTCCTGGGCTGAAAAAGTGGAGTTCAGTTAAATCTGCTCTATCACTGATCTAATCTGTGCCTTGAGCAAGCTTTAATGCTCTGATCCTCAGTTGCTTATGTCACTCTTGGATGGTGTATAAAACCTTCTAGACTGACCTCAAAATTTGCTGTCAGTCAGTTGACATATGTTCAATATGAATGCCTTAAAAGAGATAATCATTCTATTTAGATACTGTATTAAGATTGTCATAGACAGGATCAGAATTCTTTGTTCTTTGAAGTTTCTGACAGAATGGACTCTAGTGTTCATGATTTTCAAGTTTTTTAGGTTCAGAAAATTTGCCATGATCTGTAGTGGATGGGAGACTTGAGCATAGATCCTGGGGAGAAAAAAAAGAAAAGAAAAAATACAAACAGGAGCTGGCCATTTGTTTTGTGGGAAGGAAGAGAAATGTTAGACATTGGATTGGAAGCTTTGAGAATGTGAAGAACTCTGGAATGCGTGAATCATTTGACCCAACAATTCTGCCACTGGGAATTTAGTCTGAAGATATATTTGTATGGATGCAGCATGGTGTGTGTTACAAGGTTATGTAGTTTGCATGGCTTGTAATAGTAAATATTAGAAACAACCTATACATCTATCAGTAAGGGGCAGGTTAAAATAGATTATGATATATACATATGATGGAAGTCTTCAGCTATAAAAATGAATGAGGAAGCACTGATTTTTGTGTTTGTTCCTTTGTTTAGTTTTTGTTTTTGTAGTGCTTGAGATCAAAACCAGGGCCTTGAGCATGCTAGGCAAGTGCTCTACCACTGAGCCATATCCCCAGAAGGAAGCACTGATCTTTAAGATGATAGTCCTCAGTAGAAGTGGAAAAACAAAGTGTAGTACAGTGCTGGACTGTACCATCTCTTGTGTAAAAAGGAGAGACAATTAAGAATATATTTACTGTTGCTTATATATGTATAAAGAAACTCTGGAAGACTACACTAGAAGTGTTTCCCTGTGGGTATAAAGAGGTCTGGGAGGTAAATTAGAGGAAAATTTTTACTTTGTGTTTATTGTTATAAATTTTGGATTAGATAAACATTACTTATTCAAAAAATAAATTTGAAAGGTTTTTCTCTCTCTCTCTTTTTTTTTTTTTTTTTTTTTTTGCAGTACTAGAGTTTGAACTCAGGGCCTTACTCCCAGCCCCCTTTACCCCTTTAAAGGTTTTTCTAAAAAATGAAAGAAATTACCTTTGCAATATGAAGGGAAGTGAGGTGGTGAGAGACAAACTAAGTAATCACTTACTTACTGACCAGCAGGTCACATCCTGGAAGTTCATGTGACTAATAGAACCATTTGTTTCTTGCAGGTTTGTGGTCAAGGCTTAAGAAGAAATGTTTTAGGCTTATCAGGAAGATGCCATTTATTGGTCGCAAGGTAGGTGGAATTTGCATAGGTTCCCTCCTTCTGTTTACTAAACCGAATGTTCTCAAGGTGAAGGGGTGACTTTTTGTCCCCCGCATCCAGGGGCCATTTGACAATGTTTGGAGACTGTTTTGGTTATCACAATATCTGTGGAGTGCTACTAGTATCTAGTAGGTTGAGGCCAGGGATACTGTGAATTACCCTATAATGCATAAGAGATTCCTACAGCAGAGGTTTATCTGGCTCAAGATGTCAAAAGGGCCAAGGTGAGAAACCTTGCTAAACTCTTTTCTAATACATTTGGCCAAAGGAGAGATGAGAAGTCTGTTAAGAAAGAATTTGAAATTAGAAAACCTAACTGAAGTGTTGCTGGGTGTCAGAAAAATAGATGGCTGGGATGAATTTAGATATTTACCTAAGGGTTAAACTTTTTGTAAAGGACTAGATTGGAAACATTCTGGGCTCTGTAGGCCATACTGTGTCTGTCACAGCAAGAGGAGGACTGGGTAAGGAGTGAGCCTCGCTGTGCTCCAGGAAACTTTATTTATAAAAACAGGTAGGCTGCTTTGGCCCTTGGCTACTGCTTGCTGATCCAGGTATAGAAAGTTAAGGCGATAAAGAGCTCCTCTATTGCTCTTTGCACCTGTTGGTTTAGCATGTCCTCTTCCCCTCACTCATACTGGGATAAGATATCATACTAGGATAAGATATCCCCCTCTGTGTCCTCCCCAGGGCTTTTTATCACAGGTGACGATAAGCAGAGCAGGCGCCATGCAAGCGCTAAGGAAGGTAAATGAGTCCTTAGTGTCCTCATGGTCCCCAGTGCCCTGCCCTACCTTTCAACCTTATTTGCCTTAAAGTTTTCTTTTACTTATGGCTTTTGGTTTCCTTGTGTAAGGGAAGAGGAGATACTATGGAGGATAAACTATCACAAAGAACAGTAGGCTCTCCCCCTTAGCGTTCCCTGCATTTTTCCTGATCCTGATCTTATCCTTCACACTTTTCTCCTTTAGTTTCAAGATTTTTGAGATAAATCCTTAGAGATTGTCTAATTATACTCCATTTTTCAGAAGCAGATTCTGGGGCTTAAAGACAAAAGGATATTTGTTCCTTATAGTGTGCATGTGTTTACATGCACACACCTTAGTTACTCAGTTACTCACTACTTGTTTTTGAGCACTTGCTCAGTGTGAGGTACTTTTCTGGGTGCTAGAGATACAGTGGTGAATGACATCAAGTCCTTTCTTGTTTCTCTTGTGGAACTGATAGTTTAGTAGAAAAGACAGAAAACAAGTAAACAAATACCTAAGAATTTCATTTTGAAATAAATACCATGAATAAATTAAAATTGGGTAATGTTATTACATACCACAATTGGGATGAGAAAGTAACTGCTGGGCTTTTTAATACACTTCTCATTGTGATTTTTTGACCTGTTTTCTTTTGTTATAATAACCTAATCTACGCATGAAAGCTCAGTTTTCATAGTTTGTTCCTTGTGCATGGTTGCCACAAGTGCAGCGTAATTTTTTATTTATGACTAAAAACATCTCCATGTCCATAGCATGCCTCAGCACTGCTCAGCAGTGTAACCTCTGCTACCTACCAAGGATGGTGTAATTTAAAGGAGTGGTTCACTGAGGACCATGTGTAAGAAGATCCTCTCGTATTCTAATCATCATATCTAGGACTCAGAAAATCTGCATAGTTTGGAGTGAGATCTTGAACATCAAACTTTACCAAATATATCGTTGAAGCCACGGCATTATAACATGCACACTTGTGACATGTAGCCTCTTTCCCCATACTTGTGACCCATGAGTCTCATCATAAATCCAGCCCCTGCAATTCTGCCTCTGTACTGTTTTTCCCCCAGCACTTTTCATTACCTGATTTATTTGCTGTCTCTCCTGCTAAAAATAAGCTTCATGAAATCAGAAGGTTTCTTTTTTTTTCCCCCACTATATATTCCACTGTTGAAGTTTCTTTTGTTCACCATGTATCCCTGGCTCACAGTAGTTCTTCAGCAAGTGTTTGTTGAATCAGTCAATTAGTGAATGAAAGAAAATGGTTCAGAAGCTGTGGCTAGGAGGATGGAAAGGAAATAACCATAGTTGATAGAGCACCTTAGTTCCTCCTAGCATTTCAGGGTCATATAGTACAAGTTGCTGAGAACAGCTTAAGGAGATGTAATATGGTCATTCTGGCACTTCCCTAATGTCTGTGCTTGTACATACGGAGTTGTGTGGGACCACCACATTCCTATCATGTTCTGTGCATGTCCTTTGAAGTTGTTCATTGCTTGCACAATGAGCTGGATCCCTTTTACTGTACTTTGGCTGGTTTCATTGGCTCTGTCTCTTTCACACACTGTAGCTGCTGCCAAGGTAGGAACAAGGGTCAAATGTTGCATTCATATTAGTGTTGATATCAGCAAATGCAAAAAAGCAGTGTGATGTTAACATGGAAAGGGTATGGGGAAATAGAGTGTATCTGACCTTTAGAGATGGTTGGCTTTTCAAACTTCTAACAAACTATTGTACCTTCAAAATATTCCAACTGTTTAAGAAAAAATACCCTCCTAGTTCATTATCTGTTGTTTAGTAATGCCTGTTGTTGAGCAGTTGTCATAGCTGTTTTCTGTTCTCTTTACTGTACTTTTTCATCTTGTTAACATTGTCTTTTTTACCTTTGGAGATCCAAGAAAAGTTGAACAAGGCCAAGGAGGATATCAACAAGAGCATGTCATTCCTGAAAGTGGACAAAGAGTATGTGAAAACTCTGCCCTCCCAGGGTCTGAGCTCATCTGCAGTTCTAGAGAAACTGAAGGAGTACAGCTGTATGGGTAAGATGCTCAGTGCAGGCTTGCTGTTTTCCTTCCTTGTCATGGTTCCTAGCTGGGCACAGGTGGCTTGCTACTGTAATCCTAGCTACTTGGGAGGTTGAGATCAGGAGGACTGAGATTCAAGGTCAGCATGGACAAATAGTTTGTGAGACCCTATCTCCAAAATAACAAGAGTAAAATGGACTATAATAATAACCCCTGGTACTTATGTATGTTCAGGAGGGCCTGCTCCCTTTTTCAAAGGCTGAATCTCATATTTTAAAAATTATTTTTAAGCTGGGTATCAGTGGCTCACACTTGTAATCCTACCTACTTGGTAGGCTAAGATTGGGACGATCACGGTTCAAGGCCAGCCTAGGCAAAAAAGTTCAAGAGACCCCCATCTCAACCAATAGCTGGGTACAGGCATACCTGCCATCCCAAGCCATGTGGCTGAGATTAGGAGGATCAAGGTTTGCCTAGGCCAGCCTGGGCAAATACTTTGTGAGACCACCATCTCCAAAATAACCAGAGCAAAATGGCCTGCAGGTGTGGCTCAAGCAGTAGAGCGCCTGCTTTGCAAGCATGAAGCCCTGAGTTCAAACCCCTGTCCCACCAAAAAAAAAAAAAGGGGAGGGGGGTAGAATGAACACATCATGTATATTTAGGTAGGTCAATAAATGTCTATCCATACCTGTAGAAATACAGATATGTATATCTACTGTATATCTCAGTGTTAGTAGTGTTTTGTGTGTGTGTATATACTTGCGAGCACATAGGGAAGGATAAATAAACTAAATAGCTTAATGTTTAAGAGCATAACCCATGGAATCAGCCTAGATTTGCATTCTGGTTTTGGCATTTAAATTATTATCTTGGGAGAGATTTTATTTACCTTCTGTATGCCCAAGTTTCTCTATTTTTATGATCTCTACTTGCCTGAAAGAATGATTATGGAGATTAAATGAAATCATACATGGAAATGTTTTGTAGTATCTGGCATATAGTAGTGATTAATAAATGCGACTGTTAGTACTGCTGTTACTAACACAGATGCGTGCATGTTTATTACAGGTTAAGTTTTTTGTTTTTTTTTTTTTCAATACTGGGGTTTGAACTCAGGGTCTTATACTTGCTAAGCTGGTGCTCTACCATTTGAGTCATGCTGCCAGCCCTACATAATTTTAGATTTATAGGACAGTATCAAAGATGATACAAAGATTTCATGTATGCCCCTCACCCAGGTTCTCCCGACATTAACATCTTTGATACATTTGTCAAAACTAAAATACTAACATTGGTACAGTACTAGTAACTAAACTACAGATTCTTTTTAATCTGTTTTTCTTCTAATGTCTGTTTTTCTATTCTAGGATCCATGTTGCCTTTTGATAAATAGCTTTAAAATTTTCTAATTGGCACGTATTGAATTCTTGTCACTGGATGGTACAGAGTTAGATCTAGTCCAGGATTGATGATCTAGACTAGGGGTCAGCACCCTAAGACCTATACATTAAAGATTTCCATAATTATAAGGGCTGGTTGTTACCGTCTAGTTTCTTTGTTTGATTTTTAAATCATGGTCCCTTGTGCTTTCTAGCACAGTAGAAGAGCAAAAGAGAAAAGCACATCTTCTGTTCTTGAAATTGGGTAGCCAGGTGCCAGTGGCTTACGCCTGTAATCCTAGCTACTCAGGAGGCAGAGATTAGAAGGATTGAGGTTCAAAGTCGCCCAGGCAAATAGTTTGTGAGACCCTATCTTGGAAAACCCTACACACACACACACACACACACACACACACACACCACACCACACACACCACACACACACACACACACACACCACACACACACACACACACACACACACACACACACACACACACACACCACACACACACACACACCACACACACACACACACACACACACACACACACACACACACACACACACACACACACACACACACACACACACACACACACACACATATATGGTTGGGGAGTGGCTCAAGGTAAAGGCCCAGAATTCAAGCCCTAGTACTGAAAAAGAAAAAAAAAAAAGAGTGACTGCAGGTCTAAAGATGTGCATGGTATATAGCAGTGTCCTCTAAGAAAAGGATGAAAGTTAAACCAGAGAGAGCACTGCAGATGACTGTGAGAGTTGATGATCAATGCTTTGTAGAATCCATGGCTAAGAGCAATGTTCAATTAGTGTGTTTCTGTAATTGCTTTCTCACTGCTCACTTTCAGTAAGTCGAAGCCATGTTGTAGCCAAAGGACCTGAGACACCACCTCAATTGGTTTGTTGGTACAGTGTAGAATGTCTCTGGGGAAGCAAGGACCGGATATGGGAAGTCTGACTCTGTATTTGGTCAGGAACCCTTCTCTACCTTCTATCAGGGTTGACTGTTTCTGATTTGAGTGCTCTGACATACACTACTCGAAGCAGGTGGGTTCCAGGCTTGCTGGAAGGGAAGGGCTCCTGAGACTAGGGTGCTCATGGCTCATCCTCATCATGGGTTGTGCCCTGGCTCCAGCTTTGAGGGCTGTGTATTGAAAATTCACACTTCTGTCTTGCTCTTTTCTGCCAGCTCTGCTTACAGCTTCCAGTGACTGGATGGGGAAAAGAAAGGAGGGAGCTACTACAGAGAAGGTCACTCTGAAGCCATACAGACAGCAGAAAATAAGTGTAGGCAAAAGACAGTTTTTCTGCTGAGGATGAGGATGATATTATTGGACTATCTTTATTACACTATGATGCTCTTAATATCTTTTCATGATATTATTACTAATTGATCTTTTATCGTTATTTTGCACTACTGCAGCAAATACCTTTAGTAAAAATACCTTTATTGAAATTCTTTTTTTGTCAATTTAATATAAGAATGACATTGAGTTTTTACTCAGCTTTCTTTCTTCTGAGCCTAGAGGGGTTTCTTCCTGTCTCCTCTTTATTAGAACCTACTGTCTTCCTGGAGGCTCCTGCTTGTTGACCGAGTGACCTTGACTTTCTCTGCAGATGTCTTCTGGCAAGAAGGGAGAGCCTCTGGAGCAGTGTACAGTGGGGAGCAAAAGCTCACGGAGCTGCTTGTGCAGGTGAATGCCAGTGCTTGAGGGGTACACGGGTGCTGTGCCAGTTTACTTGACCTCATTTTTCCTCCTTCCTTTCGTAATTAAACATATATATATATATTTACTCAAAAAAAGCTGATTGAAATGAGAGAGGATTAGAAAGTGTCTCTTCACCCAGATATATGAGAATATGCATAATACTATCCAAGACATCTTTAGTCAGTAAAAAAGTAAAATGTTATCTGTTTTCTGACTTTATAAGGTCCTGTGAAGAAGGCAGACTCCTAGGGAAGAAAGTCCTGACATTTGAGGTTTTGAATGATAAAAACAGATTTTGTTTGTTAAGGAGAGTCAAGAGTCAGGACACTCAGTCATAATTTACTTAAATCACACAACTTGAGATGTGCAGTAGTCTCACTTACGTGTTAAGATTATTCTCATCGTTTGCTGATTTTAGAATGGTCTTTAGCTTCTTCCATTTTTCACCAAATTATTTTTGAGACCCAGCTTCATCATATAAAATTGGGTTGTTCTGATGATCCCTAAGGCCTTTGTGTCTGTAATTATGAAACTGCATAAACCTTACTCAATATTACCAGTTTTGGCTATGCTTAAGTCTTTCAGTAGCTCCCCATTATCTATAGGTGGAGCCCAAGTTCACATGTGGTAGAATACAAGTCCCTTCATGAGCCAGCTACCATCTATTACTTTAACTACCCCTGTTACCTTTCCATGTAAACATGTATCACTACCATTTTTCTTTACTAAATGCACATGCTTTATCTTGTTGGTTCCTTCCTTCCTTTCTTTCTCCTGTTCCAGGTATCAATTCCTATTCATCTTTCAAGGTTCCATTCAGCAAATACCTCTAGATCACTCAGAGTTTTAGCTGTTCCCTCTTAGGGACCCTTAGCACTATGCACTTACATCTGGTATTGTACTTAACAATACCTGCACTCTCTCAGTGTTTCAAACACAGTATGCTTAATTATTACTAGAACCCTGTAAGGTAGGTACCATGACTTAGCCCCCTTTGCATATAAGGAAACTGAGCCTCTGAGAGGTTATTTAACCTATACACCTAAAAGTGATAGGCAAACTATGACTTCAAACTGGGTCTGTTGGTGTCATAGTCTCCTTACTACATTATAAAATCATTTATTTGCATATTGCTTCCTCCACTATAACTTGATCTTTAAATTGGGGGACATGTGTTACCTTTTTTCCAGTTCCTAGCATTGATCCTAATGTCTTAAAAGTTTTTTTTAGTGCATAATTCTTTATCCTGTGTGATATAATAGTCTTATCTAACACCTTCTTGCATTTCTTTTCAGGCTTATGGAGATTTTGCATGGAGTAACCCTCTGCATCCAGATATCTTCCCAGGACTACGTAAGATAGAAGCAGAAATTGTGAGGATAACTTGTTCCTTGTTCAGTGGGGGACCAGAATCTTGTGGATGTGTAAGTATATGCAAGTGACATAAATAGTATTACTTTCTTTTACCTTGAACTAGAAAAGTTTATTAAAAATATTTTATTACAAGTAATGCATTTCTACATTGCAGAAAGATCTAGATTAAGTTTAAAAATGTTACTTGTAATTTTATAATCCAGAGTATCAATATTTTAGTATTTTTCTAGATATTTTTTCTTTTCACCTTTGTATTTTAAAAAGCATTTAAGCTACATAAAGATGTTAGAATACTGTAAACAACACCCTACAGTCACCAAATACACTATTTTGTCATATCTTTCCATTCTTTTTGTTTCTTCCTCCCTCTTTCCTCATCTACACACTCACACACCTACCTACCCTCATTTATGTACTTAAAATTCTGTTGAATCATCTAGCGGTCTTTTTGATACACTTTTCATTCTGCCTAAGCCAGAAGTTTATCATTTTGCTATAAACTGAATCTCATTTAGTTGGTATTAGGAATAAAGAAAAGGGGTTATCATTATATTTAACATTTAGTTTCTTATTTCCCATCTTCCAAGTAGATAATTGTTTTCCTAACCTGTGACGGATTAACTTCTGTTTAGGTTTGAAGTTTCAGCTTTGTAGAATAGGCTTCACTCAGTATGTAATGGTAACCTAGAGGTGCTAATCGTGTCATATATTTTATAATCATTATAAAATAAGAGTGTACATTTGTTCATGGATGGGCCCATCAGAAGACAAGAACTTTTTTTTTCTTCTTTTTGGCATGATAATAGGGTTTGAACTCAGGGCTTCACACTTGAAAAACAGGTGTTCTGCCACTTGAGCCATGCCTCCAGTCCATTTTGCTCTGGTCATTTTTGAAGATGGGATCTCAAAAACAATTCACCTGGCCTGGCCTCAACCATGATCCTCCTGATCTCAACCTCCTAAGTAGCTAGGATTATAGGTATGAGCCACCAGCACCCTGCTGTTTCTTTTGATGTACAGAAACTTTTGAATTTGATGAAATTCCATTTGTCAGTTCTTGTTCTTATTTCCTGGGCAGTTATTCCTATTCAGAAATAGTTACTTATAACTATATCTTCCAGAGTTCTCCCTATTTTAAGTGTAGTAGTTTCAGCATTTCAGGTCTTACATTAAGATCTTTGATCCATTTGTAGTTGATTTTTGTATAGGGCGAGAGGGGTCTAGTTTCTGTCTTCTGCATATAGATAGCCAGTCTTTATAGCATCATTTGTTGAAAAATGCTCTTTTTTCCCGTATATTTTTGGCTCCTTTGTTAAAGATCAGATAGCTGTAGTTGCATTGTTTTATTTCTGTGTCTTCTATTCTGTTCCATTGGTCTTCATATCTGTTTTTGTGTCAGTATCATGCTGTTTTTGTCACTATGGCTCTGTAGTATAATTTGAAGTCTGATACTGTGATACCTCCACCCTTGCTCTTTTTGCTCAGGATTACTTTTGCTATTCAGGGTCTTTTATGCTTCCATATGAATTTTAGGATTGATTTTTCTATTTCTGCAAAGAATGGCGTGGGGATTTTAATGTTACACCCAGCTTTTTGTTGGTTAAGGTTGGGTCTCCCAAACTTTTTGGTGGGCTGGCCTTTAACCACCATCTTTCTTATCTCTGCCTCCCAAGTTGCTAGAATTACAAGCATGAGCCACCATGCTTGACTTTCATGAATTTTTAAGAGACCACAGGTTAAATAGCCACAAAACAGTTTGGCCTTATCTGGTAAATTTGAAGAAACATACCATATGACCTAGAAAATCTATTACTCAGAATATACTCTAGAAAAATTAGAGCATGTATGTATTAGGATATGTATACATAAATACTTATAGCAGCATTATTCATGATAACTAAAAACTGGAAATAATTCACATGTCTATCAACAGTAAGGTAGATGAATTACAGATACTGCATGTCCTGTGTGTAATTGTTATTCAACTTGATGCTCAGATTACTCCATCTTTGGCCAGTAGGGGTGTCTTCATTTTGTCTTGTCCTTTTTCATAACCCAAATATCCAAGTAGCCTTTGAAAGCTCCCTTTCTTTTTGACAAAATACTCCAAGTTTGTCTTACTCTAGAGCTAGAATCAGCCATTTCTTCAAGGAGCCCTGGTTCAGTTAAAACTCTATAAAATATTTACATGGTTTCCAAAAGTTGTATTTATGATACAAGACAGATATAGAAAATCTGACCAGAATGCAATCCAGAGACATAAAGAATATACAAAAGAAAGGCTAAGAGATGTCTCTTAACCTTAGGATGGAATGATAAGGGCCAATACATATTATTTGGTATTTGAGAGCAGCCACAGAAAATGGACAGCCTGTAAATGTATAACTGTTAGAACCACTGATACTCTTCATAGGAACAGTGGCTAGGACAGATATGGATAGCTGAGAGATTGCTTCGTAGTTGAAGAACTGTTGGAGCTGGATGATAGTATCATTAATTCTCTCTTCAGCTGTGTCTGATCTACTTTAGTTCTTCCACTGGTCTTTTAAATTTCATGTACTGTACTTTTCACTCTTGAGAATTGTTTGGATTTTTTCTGGTTTTGCTTTGTTTTTATTTTTTAATCTGCTTGGTTTGTTACAGTCCCTTTCTTTGGTTTATGTTTTGTTTATTTACATTGCACATCTTTATATTCTTTTTCTGGTAATTCCAATGTTTGTGAGCCTTACCTATCTGATTCTGCTATTTTTCACTCAGGGAATCTTATTTCATTATATTTGTGATTTTTCTTTTTTTGGCGGTGCTGGGACTTGAACTCAGAGCCTTCACCTTGAACCATCCCACCAGCCCTATTTTTGTGAAGGGTTTTTTGAAATAGGGTCTCATGGAAGTATTTGCCTGGGCTGGTTTTGAACTGCAGTCCTCCTGATCTTTGCCTCCTGAGTAGCTAGGATTATAGGCATAAGCCACCAGTGCCCAGTTAGATTTATATTTTAAATTGTTATTGTTGAGATTGGGGTTTGAACTCAGAGCTTCATGCTTTCAAAGCAGGTACTCTACCATTTGAACCATACCTCCAGTCCTATATTTGTGATTTTTAAATTAAGGGTTTTTTTCTTTGTCACCTGGGCCACTCGTTTGCCTGAGAACTTAACTTCCAGTGATTCTGTGGGCCTAGATTAAAGTTAAGTTCTTCCAAGCACATTTTAAATTACTTTTGTCAGTTGCTGGGAAGTTACTGAAGATTGCCACCACATTGAAACCAGTTTAAGTCTAATTCTCAGCTCACCATTTTGTACCATAGAGAAAACTGTGAATTCAGACCACAAACTCACATAAAGATTATCTTTTTTTTTTGGTACATTTTTTAGAGTCTTTTTTCGCCTGAGTGTCAAGTTGAGAAAAGCAAGCTTCTTCTACATTGGGGTTTCTTTCTTTCCTTTTTTTTTTTTTTTATCCTTTTTTGGGACTGGAGTTTAAACTAGGGCTTCATGCTTCAAAGCAGGCACTCTGCCACTTGAGCCACACCTCCAGTCTATTCTGTTCTGGTTATTTTAGAGATGGGGTTCTCATGAACTGTTTGACCAGGTTGGCCTCGAACTATGATGCTCCTGATCTCAACCTCCCAAGTAGCTAGGGTTACAGGTATGTGCCACCACCACCTGACAAGGGGTGTCTTATGTCTGACAGGGGACATAAGAGTGTGTTTTCTGTCTCCTGGTAGACTGTGACTTTGGGCAGGCCCTCACTGGACCTCATGTGTCTCTAGGTTAGCGCCCCCTCAGGCAAAGAGCTGGCCTTGACGGCCACTTTATGTTGCAGGATTCTAAATTTTGCTTTGTTTGGGGTTTAGTATATTTATTTATTTTAGCTTGTGATGGATATAACAATTTTGTTTAATGTTTTGTCAAGCTTTTTAGTTATTTCATTTAGAGGGATTGCTTTAGGGTATTAATCAATATTGCTGGAACTAAAAGTTCCATCATTTTCCCCCCCACACAACAGGTCTCTATATATTTGAAGCCCTGGATCTTCTTGTTACCCATATCTTTTCTAAGTTACTCAGATACTGGTGTGATTTCATGGGTTTCTAGCCATCACAGTCATTCTCTGAATTTTTTTTCTTATTTCTGGCTAGAGGAATATAGCATTCTAAATGGGGAGTGGCACTGACATTGACCTTTTAGTCTCTGCTTTTTGTTTTGTTTTTAAATCTAGGTTTACTAAATGTACTTCAGACTTTTTTTCCCCTGTAAGTCAAGATTTTTACTCTCAGTGGTGTTTTTTCAGTTTCTTGCTGTTTCTAGCATATTTATTAGCTTTGTATTGGTTCCATTTTCTACTTTGTTTTTGTAGGTCTGCGGTCTCATTTTGTTGCTTCATTGTCCAGTCTTTGAACTCTTATTTTCTTGAATCTTGGGGCTCTTTCCTGGAGCGAGGAACAGTTATAAGGACATGCCTTCTGTTCTTCAGCTGGCCTTTTATTTTGCATGCTGCAGACTCCATGCTCCTTTCACATGTTTACATAATTGCTCATCCTGAGGTGTCTTTTTCAGATGGTCTGTTTATTCTGACATACAATGAGTGACTTCTGCCACCATTTGGTTGGAGATAGCTCAGCTAAATCTTTGTTCTGTTAGAATTTCTGGGTCTGTTCTTCTGAGATTCTATTAAAAGTTCTCTATCCAGTTAAAAGAGAATAATAAATGCTTTGAGCTTTAATTATTGCTTCAATACACCTTGTACCCCTGAAGTCTTCACTCTAAATAAAGTCAGGCCTGATGTTCTCTCTCCCCATGTTGCTCATTTCTCCCTAGTAGTAGTCATGTCTACCACTCACTGATCAGAATAAGATGAAGGTAAGGAAAACCCCTCCACATGCTTCTCTGAAAATCTGGGAGGTGTTCATGAGAATTCTAGGATTTTCCTGACTTCCAGTACAATTTCCAGGACTGATTAGAAACTGTGTTTTGCTATACCTCTGCTTCTGTTGCGTTTTCTGTCTGTCTGTCTCTCTGCCTGTGTCTCTCTCTTTCTCATGTGATGTCATTTTGATTGCCAGTATCTGAAGTTTATTATTGCATTAGATTATCTCTTTCCTTACTTGGTTTTTATTATAGATTTTCACCTTTCCCCCCTTCATTCTTTTAGACACTTGAGTAGTTTCAGTGTTCCATCTTAATCCAGAATTCCAGCCTTTTCGTATTGCTGTAGCTAAACCATGCCCCTATCATTTTAATCTTTTTGGGGTTTGGGAGGGGGCAGTGCTGGGGTTTGAACTCAGCACCTTGTGCTTGCTAGGCAAGTACTCCGTCACTTGAAGCACACTTCCAGCCTCATTATGACCTTCTTTAATGGCTTTGGCAGGGATCAGGAGAAGGATAGAGCCTGACTTTCAATCTCATCTAATATTCAGACTTTTGTAAGATAACTCTCCTTGTCTCTCTCTCTCCCCCCTTAGTCTTTATGTCTATTTCTGTCTCTCTCTGTTTATATCTCTTTTTTGAGCTGCTTTTGGTGAAGAGTTGAGTTGAGAGGTAGGAAACAAGACTAGGTCAAATGATTGGCCAGTCTTTAGACTGTCCCTAGCTAAGGTTCCTATACTCTTTTCATTCTTTGTTCTTCAACCACAAACTGTCTTTCTTTTGCTAACTTCGTTTGCCCCAGTTACAGTGGATGAGAGACGATTTCATATAATAAAAGAAATTAGTTGCCATGTGGAACATTCTTGGCTTACACAGATGCATCAGGTCCAACAGCATCTGAAAGAAAATTTTTGTTTTCTGAAATACATATGTTAAGAGTGAGTGTTTTTATATGTGTTGAAAGAAGTTGAATTGTGTAGTAAATACTTAACTGAGGTCTCCATTTTCTTACTTAACAATTAAATTTCTTTTTTTCTTTGGGTATGGGGTTGGAGAGAATTATATAAGAGTGGCAGCATTATTTTGGGGAGGGGGGCAGTACTGGGGTTGAACTCAATGCCTTGTGCTTGCTACACAAGTGTTGTACCACTTTTGCTTTTGACTAGGGCCGGCCTTGGATTGCAGTCCTCCTACCTCTACCTCCCACATAGCTGTGAACATAGGCACTTACCATCCCACTTGGCTTATTTGTTAAGATGTAGCCTCACTAACTTTTTCCCTGGGTTGGCCTTGAACTTTTATCTTTCTGATTTCTGTGCCCTGAGTAGCTGGGATTACAGGTGTGAACCACTATCCCTAGGTAGTGACAGCATTTTTAAACACAGAATTTGGAGATCAGAAAAATTAGTAGAATTTAGGTATTCCTGCTTTTATAGTAAAAAATACACTGGTACTTGCACAACAAAAGTAATTATGTTGATTTGATTAGTTACTGGCCTAAAGATAGGACACATGACATAAGTGACTAGGAATTTGGAATAGTTTTGCTTGGGTCATTACCTGACTAGGTAAGAGATTGATGTGTTAGAGATTTTGCTGGTACTTCCCCAACTTTCCGTCTTGCAAAGACAACTCCTCTTGTGACACTCAGAAGTTTTATGCTAGATCGCAGGACATACTGCTGATTTGTAGAGCTGATCACAGTTGTAAGCACTTTGTCTTCAGTAACATAGAAATGCAGAGACCTACAAATAAGGGTCCCATGCCAGCATTCCATGTGTTACTTTGTGGATGATGGTCACATGTTTGCTGAAGGCTGCCTGAGTTTAAAATGAGTTAACTTTTCTGAGCTAATCTTCCATATAACTCCTGACCATTGGGATTCTGTATCCAATGGTATTTTTGTCCTATATGTGTATGTTAGGAAAGTTTAGTAATCACCATTTCTTATTCCATCTTACATTAAGCTACACCAAATACCAAAACACAGACAGTTTTACTTAAGAACTAGTGCTAATTTATGACATTGAATAAGTTGCTTAGGGACTCAGTTTTCTTTACCTTGGAAAATAAAACCCTAAGGTTTGTGTGAATCTTCAGAAATGGTGAATTTAAGATGTCCTACAAGCCCAGTGCTACAGCCATTTGTTTGTTTTGGAATTCACTCTCAGGTATTATAGCAAGGTGGCTGACATGTCTGTCTTGGTCACAATTTGCTGAGAGTCAAGTCAGGCTTCAAGAAGTGTTGATTAAACTGGGCCTGGTGGTTCACATCTATAATCCCTGAATTGGCAAGGCTGAGGCAGGGGGATTAAAAGTTCAAGGCCAGCCTGAGTTCCTAGCTGGCCTTAAAAAAAAAAAAAAAAGTGTTGCTTGCCAGGCATAGTAAGGGATGCCTGTAACCTTATAACACTCTGGAAACTGAAGCAGGAGGATCTTGCAGAAGGATCTTGAGTTTGAGGCCAGCCTGGAGCTGCATATAGCAAGGCATTGCCTCAAAAAAAAGGGAAGTGTTAGTTGAGAGTGTTTTAGCTGTCAGTTGCTAGGCTGAGTGCTAGGAATATTGTCACTAGCAGAGCGGTCTCTACCTGTGAGAGTGTCATCCGATGAGAAAAACAGGATAAATCAAAACACCTCCGCACCTTTTTGTTTGAACTCCAGAGAAATTTGTCTGCTACAGGGGCTAGGCCTACCTTTAGGGAAACTTTTACTTCATTTAAAACATTAGGATTTTTCTTTTGGTGTCAGATAAGTAAGGCAACAAATTTCTAAGTAGAAACTTCTGGGGTTTTTTTGTCTTTTAGTCAAAACCACAAGTTCACTTTGGAAAGTCTGAGAGGGTGTCTTTTCATGTATTGTACAGTTTGTCAGAATTATAACTTCACAATTTCACATTTGATTTTTTTTTTCCTTTTTTTTTTGGTGGTACTGGGTTTGAACTCAAGGGCTCACACTCACTAGACAGGCGCTGTACCACTTGAGCCACTCCCCCAGCCCTTTTTGTGTGTGGAGTATTTTTTTGAGATAGGATTCACTCTTTTTGCCCAGGCTGGCCTTGAACCATCATCCTCCTGATCTCTAACTAGAATTACAAGTGTGAGCCAATGGCGCCCTGCCACAATTTCATATTTTTCAACATTTATTTAAATTTAGGGGAGGGCGCAGGGGACAGGGGGAGAGATGGCCCAAACAGTATATTCACATATGAATAAATGAATAAACAATAAAATAAATGAATAAATAAAAATAAATTAAAAAAAATTTTTTGAGATGGGGTTCTTACTTATGTTGCCCAGGCTGGATTTAAATTCTTCGGAGGCTCAAGTGATCCTCCTGTTTCTGCCTCCCAAGTAGATGGGACTGTAGGCATGCGTCACCATTCCCAGCTCAGGCATTGAAATTTAAATTAAATCAGTAATCCGCAGTGGCAGAGCTTGTGCCTAGCATGCACAAGGCCCTGGGTTTGATCCCTAGCACTGGTAGAAAAATAATAATCCTGATACTTTTTTGAATGGCATAAAATGCCCTAGTCTGTCTGAAAATGGATGAATTAATATAGAAATGTAAGTGGATTGTGAATAGGTTGGATCTGAGTAAGTGTGTGTGTGTACAAGTATATGTGTGTGTAGGCATTCATTCCTGTATAGTAGTTTTCATTCTTCTGAACCAAAATTGGGCTTAGCAACAAAGCCAACTTTTCCTTCTGTAACATACAGCAGTGTCTGTAGCGTAATCTCCAAGTGTTTATCTGTTTCTTCATCAAACATTGTTAAGCTCAGCCAGGTGCCAGTGACTCATGCCTATAATCCTAGTTACTTGGGAGGCTGAGAGCAGGAGGATCAAGGTTCTAGGCCAGCCCAGGCAATATAGTTTGTGAGACCCCCATCCATATCCAAAATAACCAGAATAAAATGTACTGAGGTACATTTTAGAGCACCTGCTTTACAAGGATGAAGCCCTGAGTTCAAGCCCCAGTCCTAACAAAAAGCAAAACAAACAAAAAAACTGTCAAGGTCAAGGTAAGCTGTACGTGTTCAAATCTGTCTGTACCTACCCCCTACAGATAGTATCTCTTCTTTATTACAGGTGACCTCTGGGGGGACAGAAAGCATCTTGATGGCCTGCAAAGCTTATCGAGACCTGGCCTTAGAAAAGGGGATCAAAACTCCGGAAATGTGCGTGTGTATGGCTGTTTCCCCCTCTGAAATTGTATACTTGAGTACTACTGTATGAAATGGAGCCTGATAATCTGTTTCCCTATTGCTTTTCTTCCTTCAGCAACTCCACTCTCCCTTCCTCTGCCCTGGCCCCTCTGCCCTTATCCTTTCGCACCTAGCAAAATTCTAAATAGATAAACCAGTTACTACTACAGACCATTCCCAACCCACCAAGTTTGCACATGATGTTTACCACAGTAAGCATGAGGTCCTCTTACAGGAGGTGACAGACTTAGAGCTGTGTCTTTGAATTCTTTGATTTTTTTTTTTTATGTTATCTCTCACCTAAGGAAAACTGTCTACTTAATTTAGTTCAGTGAAAATTTCTTAAATATTTTAGGGTACCTCAGTTGCTCATTAGGAAAATTTCATTCTGAGAGCTGTTTCTGTGATGAAAAATTTAAGAAATCTTTTTGAGATTTATTCATGCTGCCACCTATGGACATAATTTTGGTGTTTGGCTACTTTTTTTTTTTTTCTAGACTGTCTCCTATGCAGTGTGCTTATACTACAACTTTTAGGTTAATGTTTTTTCTGCAAGTGTCAGTGACTAAGGAGTTTTTGTTGCATATGGCCTTAGTGTATGACTCATGCTTACCTTAAAAGAATATATCAGCCTGCCATTTTCTTCACATGTGATCTTTGGTGCTTTGTACTTACTCATAATAGAAGTTTTTCTCCCTTTAAAGGGAACAGAGTAATTGTAAGAGTGGAGTAACTGAGTGAAGTCTGAAAGCTAATACCCACCTATGAGTCCATTTCCTCTTTCAACACTATTTGAAATACTACTTCAAAGGTGTAGGAGAAATGGGGATTTCAGTTTCTCATAAGTGTTTGGTCTTTCAGAGCTGGAGGAACCCACTGACCTGACTGCTGCTTGACTGCTGCTTTCACATTCCTGCCAGGCAGTCCTAGGGTCTGCTGGAACATGTGTTGTGCCAGGAAGCTTGCTTCTCACTGACGTACCTTTGGATAGCCAGCCCTTAGAAAACTGCATTACACACTCTGATCTGAACCTTCTGTCCTCTGACTTTCTCCATCACTCTTCATTCATGCTTTGGATCCCTCCACATGGAATTACTTCTGAGTTCTCTTTCGTATTGCTAAAGTAATTTCCTAAATAGTAGGAGAAGGTTTCTACAGAAAATCAATTGGTCTTTTTTCATTTACGCTTAGAAAACAATATAAATATTTATAATAGTTTGAGGAAAAATAATCAGAAGTTTACTCCTGGTGATTTAGACCAGTGTTGTGCTCTCTCTTCACTTCTGTTTTGGTCTGTGTTTTATTATTCTCTTCCCCATTATCTAGTGTGGCTCCCCAAAGTGCCCATGCTGCATTTGACAAAGCCGCCAGCTATTTTGGAATGAAGATTGTGCGTGTTGCACTGAACAAGATGATGGAGGTGGACGTGCGGGTGAGTCCTCTGCTAGTTGACTAATTCTCCAGTCACACACAGATGGGCTCCCATGCAAGGATATAGCAGCCAGAGTAGCAAAAGCCATCACTGGCAGAGCCAGTGGACTGCACTTCCCTTATATTCTAACTACCGCTTCACAGATTCATGAGTTCTAAGAGGCAGGTGATCTGGCCCCTAACTTGTGACTTAAAGACCTGGGTTTTGCTTTCAACAACAGTGCCTTCTTTTCTCTATTTATAAAATGAATGAACTTGCTTCAAGACTCACTGTCATAATAGTAATTGTTTTTATGCCTCACATTTGTGTAGAGGAATTTTATAGTTTTAGAATACTATCAGAACTACATTTTTTTGTTTTTTGGTTTTTTTTTGTGTGTGGTATTGGGGTTTAAACTCAGGGCCTCACGCTTGCTAGGCAGGCCATCTACCACATGAGCCACTCTACCAGCTAAGAACCACATTTGTTGAAGCTGTTATATTATTGCAATTCACAGATGAGGAAGCAGACTGTGAAATTAAGTCCTTACTAAGCAGGGTTTCATTGCTAGTAGGTCATGGGGCTGGAACTCACATTTGGCTCTCTTTGCCTCTTAACTCAGTATTGTTTGCACTCCCACAGTGGTTGCATTGTACTTATTTTGTGCTCTCAGGCAGTTTCCCCATGTGGACCTATGTGCACCCGTCAGTCCTTCCCCATGACTGGAGGCAGTCCTCTCCTCTTGTAGTGACAGATGAAGTGCTAGGGGATCTGAACTCTGAGCCAGTAACCCACAATGTTATTGCAGTAGAAAAGAAGAGCAACTGTGACATGAATTCTCATTTTCCCTTAAACTTCAAATCCCCAGGCGATGAGAAGAGCCATCTCTAGGAACACCGCCATGCTCGTCTGTTCTACCCCACAGTTTCCTCATGGAGTGATAGATCCTGTCCCTGAAGTGGCCAAGGTGATAAGAGAATCGGGATACTGTGGCATTCAGATTGAAATTTTAAAATAGAATCTAATGACTTAACTTGGCACACAGAAGTGATTTGCTTTTATTGCTGTTGTTTGAGGGTTTGAACTTAGGTCTTATGCTTATTAGGCAGGTGTTCTGCCACTTGAGCCATACCTTCAGCCCTTAGAAGCCTTTTTGATTTTAGATGTGACTGTAGCAGTGATGAATAGTTCTTGTCAGTTTAGGGTAAGTCCTGCAGCTGTGAAGTCTGAAAGTCATTGGCATCTGCTTTGGGGGAGGGCTAGTTCATAGCCCAGGCCTGCCTTTAAACTGAGAATTCTAAAGTAATAATTGACTTTTAGATTCTGATCGGGAAGTAATAAGCATTTGGGAGAATGCCCACTAGCAGCTGGCATTCTACACTTCCCATTGTGCAGTGACTAAAGCAGAACTTTACTTCCCCTCCTTCCCTTCTCAAAACTGCTTAAGTCAGAACTCTACTCATTTTTCTGCTTCTGGTATAGGGACCTTGAAGCTGTGCATATTTAAATATGAAGTAGATATTACATTTCAGATGGATTCTTTTAAAGGCTAAATACAATTGAAACTTTTATTAGGAATGTCAAAAATTGTCAGTTTTTAACACATGGGAGACCTGGTAGAGAATAGCCTTGTGTGTATAGTCCACTTTTGCACCCATGGTCTGCAAAAGTTTATTGTTTTATATTCTTTTATTTTCTTTTTGTTTTTTTGTGTTTTTTTGGAACTAGTTGGCTGTCAAATACAAAATACCTCTTCATGTAGATGCTTGTCTGGGGGGCTTCCTCATCGTCTTTATGGAGAAAGCAGGATACCCACTGGAGAAACCATTTGATTTCCGGGTGAAAGGTGTGACCAGTATTTCAGCTGATACCCATAAGGTGAGCTAGGAGGAAATGAAGTACTACAGTTGGCTATTTTGACTGTTATTCACGAAGTTAATTATCCAAAGCATTAACTTCTTCCCCACAGTATAAAATTAAATCTGTTCTTTGCTTTCATCTAGTCAGTTATTTAGGTAACAGGATATACTGGTGGCAACAAGCAATACTGAAGACTCTTACCTTTGCCTCAGATTGGCTAAGAGTCAACTTGGCTGTACATAACCAGGACCTTTGTGATAAAGATCCCCAAAGCCTTGAGGGTTATAGAGGTGGAGGAGGTGAGGGTTGATGCTGGAAGCCCTGGAATGGTGCTTGTTGGTGCTGTAGCTCCTGTGTCACTGGCACCCTTGAGCCTAAGTGATACAGTGTGGAAGAGTCCTTTGGGAAAAGGAGAGCCATGTGTTTAGGTTGGCTTCTAAGATTTGAAATGCCTGTGTCCATCACCTTTGGTGTGGACCAAGATAAAGTCCAGATCAGTTGGCTACTCTTGAAAATACATCCAGATATGGAAGAAGTATTACTAGTCTTGGAATGTATGCCTTGTTTTGATTGCATCTTCAGGCTTGTTTTAAACTATAGCATAGTAAAGACTAGTTTTTCAAGCTCAAAATGACCTGCTATAACTTTCAGTCTGTTTTGCCTTACCACCCAAAAGCTCCGATGCCCTTTTCTCATAACAGTCTATCTCTTTGTAGGTATGAGAGTGAAATTAGTTCCATGATAGCTCAGTAAGAGTTAACTAAAAGACCACATTTCCTATGAGGAAGCAAATTATACAGTGTTTTCAAGCTAGATTAAGTAGATTTTAGATACTAAGCACCTTCCTGTTCTTAAAAGGAAGTATAATATTAAGCAAAATAGATGGGAAGCTAATCAGATTGTGATTATCATTGCTCCAAGTGACTTGGATTCTATCCTTTCCTGGCTTCCAGTAGAAATCTACTATTGTTTCTGTCCTGATATACCATCTCAGAGAAAGATTTTAAATAAGGAAAGCTATATACTGAGTGAGACAGGGAGGATCCCATTAACTGAACAGACTGTTCTTCCCTGGGCCTTAGATTCCTTACCCTTGACAGAATCTAAACTCTGTCTCTCAAATTCCTTCTGTCAGCACTCTATGTTTGACCCTTAAATGAGTGGGAAGCATCACAGAGAAACCCGTGTTTCTGTGCATAATAGGATGGTGACAGGGCCTGCCAGGTAGAGTCACACTCTCACCCATCTGCCTCTCTCTTCAGTATGGCTATGCCCCCAAAGGCTCATCAGTGTTGTTGTACAGTGACAAGAAGTACAGGAGCTACCAGTTCTTCATTGGCACAGACTGGCAAGGTGGCATCTACGCTTCCCCAACCATTGCAGGCTCACGACCTGGTGGCATTGTTGCAGCCTGTTGGGCCTCCTTAATGTACTTTGGTGAGAACGGATATGTTGAAGCTACCAAACAGATCATCAAGACTGCTCGCTTCCTCAAGTCTGAGTATGTGTGGAAGGCGGGGATTCTCCCTTGTCACTTGCTTTTTCTGCTAGTCAGCTCAAGGCAGCTGTCTGACTGCACACCATAGCCCTAGCCCATTTACCATCTCTTGAGAGACCAGGAATTAGGTCAGCATCCCAGGAGTTGGTGCTGGTGGGAGAAGCTGTCCTCTGCTATGGCTGGGAGGGGGATAATGTTCTGTCTGACACTGATATCTATAAGAACAACTGACTTCAACCTAGCCCTCTTTAGTGTAGAGGATGAGCAGACTAGAACCTCAGAAGGTCAGATTGTGTTATAAGGAATACTCATGATTAAAAAAGTGATGATCAGAGAAATACGTGTGGCTGAATTTCCTTTTTGTTTGTTTTCAGACTGGAAAATATCAAAGGCATCTTTGTTTTTGGAGATCCTCAATTGTCAGTCATTGCTCTGGGCTCCCGTGACTTTGACATCTACCGACTGTCTAACTTGATGACTGCTAAAGGGTGGAACTTGAACCAGTTACAGTTCCCCCCCAGGTATGCTTGAAGAAGCCTCTGTCCTTTTCCCTTCACTCTCTGACCTCTAAAGGGCTTGGGTAGTGAGGTGACCTGATGTACAGAGTTCAGCTGCTATGCCCTAGCATTTTAGTAGCAACTGTATTATGTTACAGGATTTCTGTCTTGCCACCTGGAATTATTAGACATAAGAAACAAGATCCTTAGCTTTAGACACTGGTAGAATTGGGTGCCAGCCTCCTGAGATAAGTGGTTGGTTGAGAAGTTCCCTCTATTCTTTTTCTAACCTCCATGCTGTGATCCTTGTACACAGCCATCCAGTTGTTCATACAAGATACCTGTTATCTGGGCAGTATTTAGCACTGAACACGCTACAGGGTCTCTGATCATTCAGGCTTGCAACTGTATTCTTCTACAGGATGCTTTTCTAACCTCATATTCCATGATGCCTTTAAATCTTCTGCACCAGCTAAATGGATCTGCTCCATGTCCTTCATGAACAGCTTACCCTTTCACAGGACAGCCCCATCTGATGCTCCTCTTTCTTCTTCACAGTCTTCTATGCCCTGTCCTCCTTCCAGAGTGATGTAGAGTGTTTTCATGGCCCTGGAGTCCTAGATGGCTGTATGGTCGTCTCCCCATGAGGGCTTGTCCTCTAAAATAAAAGCATCCCATTTGTGGTCACCTGGTTAAAGGAGTTATGATTGATGCGGGGAGGGTGGGACGGAACAACAGCTGTGTTCATTCTTTTAGGACAGTCTTGATCATGCTGAGAAGCCCTGATACACTGTATGTCAACAACCCAAGTGTTCAAGAGCCCTAATTCCCAGGACTGGGAACAATAGAAATAATGGAAAGAGGCAATCAGTAAGCTCTTATATTGGGGGCTTCTTTGTTTCAGAACATTTTCTTTTTTCAAGGTCTCTTTTTTTTCCTCCCACAGTATACATTTCTGCATCACATTAGTACATACCCGGAAGCGTGTAGCAATCCAGTTCCTAAAGGATATTCGGGAATCCGTCACCCAAATCATGAAGAATCCTAAAGCGAAAACCACGGGAATGGTAAGAACACCTGAAGACTTTTTTTCCCTTGGAAATTTAGAGGTTGATGTGGGAGTGTTTGAAAGAATCAGACAGTTTGGAGTTTGTTCCCACCTCTGCTCCTTACCCTAAACTCTCTGCATATGAGTTAACTATTGCTGCTGATCTCTCTTCTCCTTTTCCCAGGATTGTTAGGCATCTCAAATGAGATGTACTTTGTAAATCAGAAACTGCTTACAAAAGCAGGGGGTAGTTGGGTCCATTTGAAAGAAAATTTTGAGATAGAAAAGGCAATAAGCATGTTTTCTCTGGATTTTTTTTTACAGCAAATCCCATAGAATAGTTCCAGGCAAGCTGGAAAAATGTTCTTTGCCTGGGCTGGGAATGGCAGGGAGGTGCACATGCCAAGCGAGGCCTCAGGGAAGAAGGGGTCATAACCACAGCTTGTCCTTGATCCTGTACCCGTCATCACTAATAATGCATCCTTGGTTTTGTTTGTAGGGTGCCATCTATGGTATGGCCCAGGCAACAGTTGACAGGAAACTGGTTGCAGAACTATCCTCAGTCTTCTTGGATAGCTTGTACAATACGGACACTGTAACTCAGGGCAGCCAGATGAATGGTTCTCCAAAACCTCGCTGAGTTTGGACCCTTTCCAGTCCCAAGGGCTTCTGGCCTTCAGAAGGTTCTCCGAGTGTGAAACAGGCCACACACAACTTTGACATCTGGTCTTGCTCCATAGGGCACAAGATAGACCATAAGACAGCTTCAGCCTCAGGATTCTTGTTCCTTCTTTTGTTACATTTTGAGGTTTTTTCATTTGAAAATCCCAAAGGATTCCATTGTATGATGAAACTGCCCTTGTTATAAATGTTACCTTAGGAATTTTTTTTAACCATTTCCTTCTCTAACTTCTCTAGCTTTCACCTTCAGTTAATCATTGTGTGGTGGTTCTGACCTGTCTTGATTCCTTAGGGAAGCTATGAGATAGCAAAAGAGGGTCTTTGCTACCTCAGGCAGATACTTCAGCTGCTGGTGGGAGGCATTTATATAACAATTGTTTCTTTCCCCAGGTGGATGTCAAGTGAGTCCTAAGCAGGAGGGTTTTTCAGCCCTCTGCTTGAGTCGATGTGTTGTCCCTTAGGTCCACTTTCATTGCAACCTGTTTTACTTTCCCAGGACATAGGTTAGCTGTGTTTTATTCTCTATTATGCAGGCCTAGAGCAGTTGAATACATCACTCAGTCTCCTGTGGCAAGATCTGGAGTGCTCCAGTGTTCTCTTCTGTTGTTAAAGGCCCCATTAGACCTTGGTTGTGACCATCTTTGCAATGATGTTCCCATTGCTTTTTTCTTGTTTCTGTGGAATAGGAAGAGAACATGGTTTCTAGAGAATCAAGGGCTTTCTGGTAATGGTGCTTCCTCCCTGAAGTGGTAGTACCCAGAGCACACCTGGGCCTTCTCCTGGGTAGTGAGGAGCAGAAGCCAGACCCTTTTCTGTGCTTTGCTGAATAGCAATATAGGTGAGCACCCAGATTCAAATGTATATCACCAAAGTTGGTGGTGGTCCTCCCTTCCTCCATGGCCTTAAGCTGTATATGTAATGAGTATATATTTTGCTTGAAGGAAAAGCTCAGAGTACCACCATAAGTTGCCTTGACTTCCCCTAGGAAAGTGTGAGGACAGTGCAGGGAACATTTCCTCTCCCTCCATTAGTGTTCTTCCTGCCTCTTCTGCCTTTATTCAGCTTCCAAAGGTACTATGGCAAGTTAGCCTCAGGTACTAGATGTTTTTCAGCCCTGGCTAAAAGGGAGCAGTATAGGATGGAATAAGCATTTTGGAATAGGAAAGTATGGTGGCAGGCAGCCATATGAGGGCCTCACTGTCCCAGGGCCTGGAATTCCTTCATAAGACCAGTTGCTCAGGGTGATGCAGGGATAGGACCAAACCCTGCATCTACTCCCTACTCTCTTCTTCCTTTTGGGGACCCTGATCTAGGTTGAGCCATTGTCCTGTTCTAATGACATCATACCGTGTGCCTTTCTCCACAGCAGTGGCTATTCCTGACCCAGGCTCAAGGAAAATGGGCCAGTCTTTGAGGTTTCTGTTTGGATAAGTAAGAACCTAGGACAAGTCAAGAGGAACTTTACTGTTTCCTTCCCCTTCTCAGGGACTCCCGTTGAATACTCGGCTTCTCCCAGATGCTGTCTTCTAGGCACCCTCATTGGGAATGTGGGCTGGAGGAGCCAGACACCAGGCTTTTCATCAAGCTCTTTGTCATATCTGTCACTTAGCACTGTACTTTTCACCCAGGAACTGTGACTAGCTGGCCATGTCATTGCAGGGCTGGTGTGGTGTGTGTGTATCTTTGTGTCTGCTTACCTCCTTTTTGCCTTGCAGGACATTGTGGTGTTCAAGAGTAGTTGGTGTTGGTGCATGTGTGTGTCAGGGAGAGGCTGGGAACTGTAGCTCACATGCTTCCTTCAAGGAGAGCACCTCCTTGAAAGAGTAGCTGTACAGCAGTTGTCTTGGGTCTCCAGTGCATCATGTTGGAGGAGACCCAGGGACCCACAGCTACCTAGTAGGCACTACTATGGCATGCCAGCTACTAACATGGAGAAGCATATGCCCTACTGTCTCCCCAGGACCAGACCCTGAGCCACTCACTTCCTCTGTGCTGTGTCAGCATTGGTGCCTGGGGCGGGGGGTGATGGTGTTTTTCAAAGGGACCTACTGTAGCCACTTTAATTTATGGTTTTGAGCCTTAGTTTGACCTAGCCCTTGTAGACTTTTCCTTTGTGTGTATTTGTGTGTGTGTACATAATGCCTAAGTCATGGCAGAAGTGGATAGGATGTCTTTATGGTGTCATGTTGCTAGCAGATGTCACACTGTCTTTCTCAAAAACTGCTTCTGCTTTAGAAGTAAGTAGTTCTGGCTGGGGATGAAGCTCAGTGGTAGAGTGCTTGCTTAGCATGCGAAGGCCCTGGGTTCTGTCCCCAACTCTGCAAAAAGAAAAGTAGTAATCCTGTGAATATACTGCCATGTCACTTTTTAATATTACCAGTTTTATACTTGGAAAATGGTACTTGCTCTTTTAAATCTTTTTGTCTTCTCTAACCTCCCCTTCCCTATCTCCATGCCCCCTTCATAATTTCAGCAATAATCTCTTAAAATGCAATTACATAATTAAATGTCCCAAACCATAATCACTGTGAATGGTTCCATTTATTTGTTTACTTGGGCACACAACAGGAAATCACAAATATAGAAGTGGCTGGGTTAAATGGGCTGCTGGTAGGAGGTTGCCCCCTGGTGGTGAAATTTTTTGTGACCCTGACACTGTGGCTAATAGCAGCAATCCAGCTCATTTCCACACTTGAATAGGTAAGTATCTCTCTACAGCAGAAATAGTGAGGGGGAGAAATGACCTAAGCCTTGTATGCACATATGAATAATAAAATAATTTTTTAAAAAATCCATGCAGTTCTTTGCTTATCAGTTAGAACTTGATAAAGCTGTTTAAAAAAAGAAACTTATTGTAAGACATTTTGTTTGTTCTGGCACTTTAGGAAAAAAAAAAGAGTGAAAGACCTATTTGGGGAGGGTCTGGAATTCAGGGCCTTACTTCCCTATCGCTGGGCCCTGTCTATGCTTTCTTCTATCTTCAGCATCCACTTTTGTTTGCATCTTACTGAGGGATTAGGCCATTTGGGTGGTTGCCCATCAGCTGAGCATCATGACTCTGTCTAACCAAAGGATACTGACTTCAAGTCTGGCATTTGATTTGTGGGCTGATAGTAGTTCCTTGGATGATCTTCACACACACACAACCACTGGGCATCTTGTTCCATTCTGATAAGAAAGAGAAGTCTTCCTGAAGGGGTTGGTCAGGATCTGAAGGCTTGTCGTTTAGGTAACCCAGCTTTTCATTCTAACCTTAAGCACATTCCAACTTTGGCAGAATAAAGGCAAGGAATGCTGTCTTTGCTGTAGTTCTCACCAAATGGTCTGCTTCTCTGAGCCACCTGTAAACCCCAAGAAAGAGAGCCCAGGGTGTGCTAGCATTAGGATATCTGGCCAATCTCATTGTAGCAACTGGGATGCTGATAGCTGGTAAACAGCCACACGCCTTTTTACCTCCTTTGTGGGTAACTGGAAGCACTGAGCAGCTTCAGCTGGACACAGCTACGACAGAAGCAGTGCCTGAGGCTCAATCTGATATCTACTACTTATAGCCTGAGTGGGCAAGGTAAGGCTTGGAAAGCCTTCTCTTGATACAGAGTTTCGGTGGCCTACTTTCACTTGCGCTTTTGTCCTTGTCACAATCTCTGCAAAGTCTTCCCTTATAAATTTTAATTATTTGGATTAATTTTAGAATAAAGCTACTTCTGAAACTTGTTGCCTGTGTCTTTTTGTTGTTTTTGAGACAGGGTCCTGCTATGTATGTAGTCCATTCTGGCCTCGAATTCAAGATCCTCCTGCCTCTGCCTGCTTAGTGCTGGGATTGCAGTTTTACACCACCACACTCTGCCTGTTTCTTTTGTAAATGTGCCTCACACAAATGGGATGCTGCCCATTGTTGGCATTTTTTTAACCCTTGATTCATGGTAACAAGCAGAAGGATGCCTCCAAATCTGGTGTCATCTGCCCCTAATCCTCAGTTATCAGTTCAGAGCACACTTAGAAACCTTAAGTCAGAAGTTCAACAGGTAAGACCACTATCCAAATCTCATTGGTCTTGATGTCAAGCTTTGTGGAGAGATGGCTGTCAGTGTAGGTACTTACTATCTTTACTAGCATATAGGCTAGGAGGGGTCCTGCTAATAACCCTCGTAACAATGTTCTTCAACACCAACCTCTGCCTCTTATACCCCCTTAGGGAACCAACATACCCAGGCTGACTGGATTATGATATTCACTGCTAGATGCCTGCTCTGGGTGAGCCTGGCATTTGCCAGTCAGCATGGTGCTCAGGCAGAGCTCCAGGTTAGGGTCATCGGTGAGGACCACTGTAAGAGGCCCGCACTGTCTTGCCTCATGGTATGGGGGATGTGTTTGTGTGGTATGCACGTGTAGAAACACCCCTTCTCCCTAGCCTGGCATATCCTGGATGTATTCTGTCATCAAGTTCCTGACTCAGAGCCTGATTGCTCAGATGGTAAATACCCTGCCAACTCCTAGATTGTGCCCGTGTCCTCTCTGTGTAGAGTAACAGCAGGTAAGCCCTGAGACTTCCACTAAGATTCTGAAAACACAGATGCCACCAGGACTGGAAATCTCCCCTCTGATGCCATAGGCCAGTGAATCAGTCAGGGTTCTCCAAGGAAACATCCAGTATGCACAGAGAAGGACGGGAACTTCTATCTGAGTACTGATTGGGCCCAACCCTGCTTAACTTCTGAGATCAGAAGAAATTGAGAGCATTCAAGGTGGTGTGATAGATAGAAGAGGACTTCTGATAAGGAATGAGCACCTGTGACTAAGGAGGCTGACAGCTGGCAAGCTGCAGCCCCAGGAGAGCAGATGGTATCATTCTAGTCTGGAGGCCTACAGGCCTGGAACCCATGAAGTGTGGTGTTCCAGTTTGAGTCCAAAACAGGAAAAGATCAAAGTCCCAGCACAAGCCAGACAGGAGGCATTCTCTCCTATTTCAGGAGGGTCAGCCCTTTTGCTCTATACAGGGCTTCAACAGAGTAAGTGAGGCCCACTCACAATAGGGAAAGCAGTTTGCTTTATTAGGTATAGATTCAAATGTTCATCTAGAACACCCTCAAAAACACCCTTGCTGATATACCCAGAATGTTTGAACAGATGTCTAGGCACCCATTGCCCAACCATTTTAATAAAATTAGCCATCACAGCAGAAAGAAGAAAATACGGCCCAAGACACTTTATTCTTTCTACATGAGGTCCCTGTGCCCAGCATACCTTTACCTGTGTTTATGTTGCCCCTTAGCTATCTCTGCCTCTCAGAAATCCTGAGTCTCTGAGACAAAACTGATTCACCCTTATTGCCACTTTTTTGTATTTCCCTTAGCTCATTTCTTATTCTGCCATCTGGCATTAACTTTGTTCATCCTGTCTAGTAACAGTCAGTGTATTTTCCTCTTTGACTCCCCTACATGATAATGAACCTAAGGTAGGGTGTTCCCCTTCCCTTGTACCTTTACACAGAGTAAATGCTTCTATAGAAATGCCTATTGACTGGGGTGAAGCTCAGTGGTAGAGCACTTGCCTACCATGTGCAAGACCCCGGGTTTGATCCCCCAGACCACAAAAACAAAAACCTAAAATTGAAACGAATGGCTAACTGACTCCAATTTGTATTGACCTGTGGAAAAGAAGGTTCTAGAGCCAGAAACTAGTGATACCATAGTTTTATTGAAAGCGTGAAAGCATACCCATTTCCATCACACAGGATGGGGCTTGCTTTAGGATCATGAGTTCTAAGATAGGACTTCATTTCACCCTTTATTCACAGCTGCTTGGGAAATGAATTAGAAAGGAAGCAAGACAGCCTAGAAGGACCATCACTGCTGTTGCTGGGAATATATAAGAAAAAGGAGAGCTTATTCAAATTAGTGTAACATAATAGCCCCAAGAATGAAGAGAATGGCACAGGAAGAGGCGTCAGTTCCTAGTGTTGGCAGTTATGCTGGTATCTTTCCATAGCAAGAACTCACCCCTAAATGGGCAGCAGGGTCAATGTGGCAAATTCTGACTGCAGCAAGCATCGGGGACCAAGGACTCCTTGATTCAGTCACACCCTTCCCTTGAGGCATGCAAGGGGGACAGGGTTTATGTCATGGACACTGCTACTTGTTCAATGAAGCTGGCCAGGTTTATGTCTCGTTCCGAAAGGCCCGCACACTCATGGGTGCTCAGGGTGATGTGGACCTGGAACAAAACCAGAAGTTTAGGGCTGGCTGACCCCACTAACTTTATTTAACAACAGGATACAGTTGGGCTCAGCCCCACCAGGAGCTGTGGAATAACAGCTGGTCACTATAATCCTTCCTGGTAAGAGTAGCTAGTCCTGAGTTTATTCCTGGGGATGGTAACAGTCACTACTATTTCCCTGCGAGATAGCAGCAGGTCACTACCATTCCTCCTGGGAATAGTAGCCAGTCACTGGTCTGTTCTGGAGATGCTTGACACTGGTCTATCCTGAGGCTACCAGCCAGTCAGTACCATCCCTCCGGGGGTAGTGGGCAGTCACTGTCATCTATCCTAGAGAAAGCCGATCATTACCACCCCTTGGGGACTGATTCCCTGATGGGTCTGTAACAATGCAAAACTGTCGTCTACATCTCCCTTTGATATTTCCCAAAAATAGTGACTTAAGTTTCAGGATGAAAGTTAAAACATTCAGATGTCAAGAGCAACCTAAAAGCTAAAGGCAAATCAAAACTCATCACAGACTCCTAAACACTATCTAGTTACAGATAGGCCTCCTCCCACTTAATGTTTTTTATAAACAGTGCCCAGCAGAGCGCTTGGCCATTTAATGACTGTTAAATTCATTAAGCAGACCATCTGATCTGTTTGCTTTGCATGGGTATTCTGAGCTCAAGTTTATTACTTTCGCATTCTTCCATATCTCCAGAAAGAGTAAAGCCATTTAAAGCTATTAACAATGAATGCGCAGGCCCCATTCCCATTCTGAGACGATATGCGTCTCAGAGTGTTTTAGTTTGCAGTGAGACTGACCATTTTCCAGGGGTGTTTATGTTGGTTCTAGGAAAGAGATGAGTTTGGAATGAGTGGAGAGTCAACCTGTGAGTGGAGAGGGCCCATAATCCAGTTCAAGGGAGAGCCTTCAGAATGAGTTGAAGTTTTCAGAATCAGGAGGCAGAGCACAGAAGCAGCACACAACCTCACTCACTTTGTTGTACACGTTAAACCATTCGGGATGGTGGTCCAACTTCTCAGCCTGCAGCGCCACTCTTGTCATGAAGCCAAAAGCCTATTTCGGTGAAGTGAGACCCAGGTTAGTATTCTGAGAGGAAGACTCCTGGGCACCTTTTTATGGCCAACTAGATGCAGGAGGACGGTCTAGCTTCCTACATGGAGACCCTGGATTTCCAATTGTTTCCCTGTGACGTCCTGCCCTGAGTTCTGAGGCTTGAGTTAGAGGCTGTCTCTGCAGCAGGAAGAAGGTCATGTCACTAGGATCCCTAACAATAGCACACAGCACAAGAGTTAGTCTTGGCCAGTCTTTTGGCTGTCTATTAAAATGTCTTCAGCTGTACCATGTGCTACCTGAACTATCTCCTATGAGGACTGTTCCTGAAAGTTCCAGGTAGGGAAGGTCTAAGGCCCATCTTTCTACTCTGTAGTGCCCTAGGATGGCACCTTCCAAGTGATTCGGGGAAATGGACTTCCTCAGGGCACAGAACCCAAATAAACTCAGTGTAGTCTTGGCTAACAGGACCTGAAGGATGAATAAGCTTAGCAAGCCACTCCCCACCCACCAGCATACCCTGTTGAAATCTTTGAAATGGAACTGCTTGAAGATGGCATCTCGGCCTTCCAACTCATTCCACCCCACAGCCCTCAGGTTTGGCAGCAATTGGTCCCGCTCCTCAGCACTTAGCCTGTGCGCTTTGCCAGCCTAGAGGGAGAAAAGAGGTCCAAGGGCATTTCTTTTCATAGGTCAAAAAAGAGCACCAGACCTTTGGGTGGAATTTAGCCAACCTCCACTGGTTGCTTCGGACATGATCTATCAAAGGGCAATGGATTTTTAAGCAACAGATGGACCACTGACAAGTAGGGAGATCTCAAGGGTAGCACCCTGCCCAGGAGGTGGGATCTGGGCTTGTTCACTGGTAGGCGGTCAGATACTGGGTTTTATACTCCCCTCAGAAAAACAAAATCCCAAAGGACGTGCAATGCCAATCACTGGGTCAGAAAAACACTGTTCCTTCCCCTCTACCCTCATGAGCCTCAGAGACTCCTCACCCCTCAAATAAGATCTATGATGTTAATGAGTGAGTGAAAGCAAAATCTGGGCCAAATCCAACAAACCCCAACATAGCCTTTCTGGAAGAGTGGGCCTTTTCTTATGATCTTCTTTGTGCTGTTCACCCCCACGATTGTAGCTTTCAGGTATATTAAAGAGGAAACCTGGGGCCCAGAGAGAGGACATGACCTGTCCACCGTTCCCCAGTCAGTGAGAGCATGGGCAGGTTCTCAAAGTATGGTCTGTGCATCCACAGCCCCAGGGGCTGGGTGAAGAAACCAGCATTTACAAAGCATTTCCTGGCGGTTCTTAGCTACCTTGCAGTTGACAACCATAAACACAACCTCCCACAGGGTCTTGATCACCCCTCATGCTGCCAGGCCTAGATTCTCAGATTTTCTGTCTTCTGGAAGCTTCCAGCTTGGGAAGCCTGGGCCACATGGCTCAGTCCCAAAGAGGAGGTAAGTTGTCCAAAGGCAAACTGGGTACCCAGTGCCCATCCTATTTACATATTGTGCAAAGTGCTTGCAAGGCAGAGCAAAGTGTTACAGGTCAGGCCATGAGAGGACCCATGGAGAAAACAAGGAAGCAAGGGTCAGTTCTATCCTCTAGGGACTTCTAGGAGCTTAAGGGACCCCAGGACCTAGGCTTCTAAAACAGAACCGCCCCCCCCCCACACACACAGGCAGACAGAATACCAAACTGAAAACACATCACCTGGATCTGGGGAGGAAGTGTGAGGGAGGTGAATTTAGCTTTTGCAAGCAGCCCACAGAAGGACTGGTTCAAATCCCAGTTTTGCTATTTATCAGCCAGGTGGCCCCATGGTACTCATGCCTTTTGGTTTCATGGGTTAAGAGACAAGAACCTCTATCTCTCAGATCAGGAGATACCAGTGGACATGTTAGTGAATGGCATGGGTCACCTGCATTTTAAAAGCACTTCCTGGGCAAGGAAGCGTGTAATGGGCAAAGCACTGGGGCTAAGCCCTGGGGATGGCAGAAGCACATGGTGCTGTTGTAAGCTGTCTTTCCCTCTCCTCTCTTTCCTGCACCCTGCACGAAGGGGCTTGGTCCCTCTTCTACCCTAACTGTGGATGGCTTCAGAGAAGGCAGCAGAGATCTGCCTTGGCCATCGCCCAACAGCAGGTCTCTTTCAGCTGGCCCTTTGCTGGGGCTGATACCTGGGTCCATCTATCCAGGCAACTAGACCTCAACCAAGACATCAGAACCCACTTATTTTCTTGGTTCTGAAAGAAATGGGTAAGCACAAGTGATTAAGAGTCTTCTAGAGCCTCCCAAGTCACACAGTCTGGGGCTGACTGACAACCTTCTCTGAACTCTAGGGTCGGAGTAGGAAGGGCTCTGTGTTTGCTTAGTAAATCAAGGTCAGCCACTGGCTGGAGTGCGCAGGGGTTACTGATTACCCAAGTAAGCACCTTTGGGGCCTTGGCGTCCCTCCCCAAGCCATAGCGGCCAAATCGCCCTTAGCCCTGACTGTTTCCGAGGACTCAATGCGCGTTGGGGCCAGAAACCAGCTGTTTGGTAAAACTGCCACGTCTGGCACAGCCCAAACGGACAGAGACTCCTCCGCCCCGGGAGCTCAGCCTGGAGGAGCAATGATATTGATCCACAACAGCCCTACAGGGATGGGGGGAGGGGGCTGTGGACACACAGACCTCCAAACTGGCGCAAGGCGGGGCCCGAGGCCGGGGACAGAGCAGGGGTGCAGTGAGGGCTGAGTCCCGCTGGACGCTGCACCCCGAAGTGCATGCAAGAAGGGGCAGCGAGCAGGCACGGCGGGGCGCGCACACCCAGCATCCCGGGTCCCCGCCCACCCCCGCCGGGTGAGCCCCGCCCCGGCGCGGACGCCCAGCAGGCCTGGCTCCCGCCTCGCTGGCCCGCCCGCCACCGACCCTCCTCGGGGCCCAGCTGCCCCGAGACCCCGGCTCTCCGAGCTCGGCGCGGGGCTCTGCAGGGAGCTACGAGGGACCCCCACCGTCTCCCCGGCCCACGGCGCCCCGAGCTCACCATGTCCGGGCGTGGGCAGCAGGTGGCGGCGGAGAGGGCGAGCGCGGCGGGGCGCACGGTGGCCGCCCAGGGGCGGAGCCGCGCTCGGGTCGCCTCGGTAATGATTAACCGCGCGCTGACCGCGCTGGGCGCCCTTCCAGCACTTTCTAAGCCGTGCACAGCGGCCCTGCGGGCTCCCAAAGCCGGTTTCTGCCTTAGTCCCTGCAGCTTCCTAGCGGAAGATTCTGGCGCAAAATTACGCGATCTTTTAAGAAGAAGAAAAAAATAGTTGTAGTTGATACACAATGAATTGCACATATTTAAAGCGTGCAATTTGATGTATGTTTCCTCCTAAAACCGTCAGCAAGGTCAAGGTTATGAACATATCCATCAGCCCTTGAAAGTTTGCTCCTGCCTCTTAGTACCCCTCCCTAGGCAACCTCAGATCCACTGTATTCAATGCAGAGTAGTTTGCATTTCTTAGAATTTTATGTTCATGAAAACACATAATATACACTCAGCGTAAGTATCTTGAGGTTCATTCATGTTGCATGTATCAGTTGTTCCTTGTTTTATGGCTAAATAGAATTATTTATTTAATAGTATTGCTTTGTATGTATAGACTGTACCACAATTTGTTTAGCAATTCACTGTTGATGGATTTTTGGACTATTTCCAGTTTGAACTATTACAAATAAAGCTGTTAGGAACATTCAGATGCGAGACTTTGCATGGATATATGCTTTTGTTTTTCTTTGATCAATACCTAGAAATGGAATGGTGTTTATAACGCACAGGAAGCAGCCACACTGTTTTCCCAAGTGGTGGAGAGACAGATCAGAGGCACCCATTTCTCTCTAAGGATGTTTGTCTGAGTATGATTGAGGACGCTAATTCCGTGATAGGCCTTCAGTGTTCGCGCCCTTCAGTAGTTCTTGTTTGTTTGGGGTTTTTTTGTTTGTTTGTTTGTTTGTTTTTTTAAGCTGATAGGATAGAGTCACTGGGCCTCTGGTTGCCTTGAGTGGGGAGCTGTCAACCAAACCTCCAGCTGGACTGTCATGGCAGCTCGGCTGCTCTGAACACATCTCAGGTGTTTGAGAAATCTTTGCCTAACCCAAAGCCACAAAGACTTTCTATCTTTTCTCTCCTAATTCGTAGTTTTTCATTTTAAATTCAGGTCTGTGATCTATTATGAGTAATATTTTAAGTATGCTTCGAGTTATGGATCCGAATTCACTTTTTGGGCACAGATGTTCAATTACCCCTTTCTCCACTGCATTACCTGTGCACTTTGTCAAAAACCAATTGACTGTATAGATGTGAGTTAATTCTGGGCACTCTGTTCCATTGTTCTGTTTGTCCATCTTGACACCAATACCCCTTTCTCGAGTACTGTAGCTCTATAGTAAGTCTCAGAGTCAGTTAATATAAGTCCCCTACACTTCAGACATTTTTCTCTGTTAGCTTTTATTCTATACTCCACTTTTCTTCTTTTCCCAGTAGCAGCATCTCTAATATGTTAATATGCATTTTTGTTCTTACACATTCTTGCAAAATATGTTGTTGTTTCATCTGTATGTGTTTTTGTTTGGCTTTTGGTAGCACTAGGGTTTGAACTCAGGGCCTTGCACTTGCCAGGCAGGCGCTCTACCACTGGAAACATACCTCCCCCGCCAGCCCTTTTTGCTTGTTATTTTATGAACAGGGTCTCATGTTTATGCCCAGTGAGCCTGGACTGCCATCCTCCCATTTACGCTTCCCACATAGCTAGGGTGACAGGCATGAGCCACCATGCCCAGCTTTTATTGATAGAAATGGGATCGCAGGAACTTTTGCCTGAGCTGGCCTGGAACCACTATCCTCAAGAGCTCCGCCTCCCGAATAGCTATGATTACATATGGAAGCCATTATGCCTGGCTCATCTATATGCATTTTTTAAAAAATTATTTTTACTAGCGTACATTAATTGGATAAAATGAGGGGTTTCATTTTTTCCATACAAGCATATAATATACTTTGATCAATCTCCTCTATTACCTATATGTATTTTGTGTGTATGACTGGGGTTTGAACTCAGGGCTCCGTGCTTTCGAAAGCAGGTGCTCTACCACTTGAGTCACACCTCCAGTCCATTTTGCTCTGGTTATTTTGGAGATGGGGCCTTGAGAACTGTTTGACTGGGTTGGTCTCAAACTATGATCCTCCCCATCTCAGCCTCCCAAGTAGCTAGGATTGCATGCATGAGCCACTGGCGCCTGCTATGTATTTTTTAACTTACATAGTGGTATCGAATTACCTATCATTTGCATTTCATATGAAATAGACACTTAGTGGAAAATTAAGACCTATCCATGTTGCCTCCTGTATCCTGAATCTGTAGTATTAAGTTTTCTAACTGCTGCTTGGTATTCCATGATGAAAATCTACTATGCTTATCCTTCTATCAATGATGACACGCAACTCCAACTTCATACGCATATATGGAACCACCACCATGAAACCCCTCACTTTGTACAATTAATATATACTAGTAAAAATATTGCCACCATCACCAAGCATGTGAGCAGGTAGTTTTGTTACACACACACACACACACACAGCAAAACACACAGAATGATGCCTCAAAGAACATTTCCCTGAGCTCCTTGGCTCTGGCTTATGGGAAGTTTCTCAGCTTAGATATTTGCATAACCTATAAAGCCAGCAACTCCCTTCCTGGATTGGTATCTCAAAATAGTTCAGATGTGTGGCATAGCAACCTCAGTCCATCAGTGCCTGCACTGTGAGAGGGTTCCTGTTTCCTTATGCAGCTCACACTTGGTTATTTATCTTTCTATTTTTTGGTCAGGATAATAGCTACACCATGCAAGCTCACCGTTTTACTCCTAGTGTTCTTCTGATTACTAATGATTGTGAGTACTTTTTGTATGCTTGTTAGCATCTGAGGCGTAAAGTTTGTAAACTGCTTTTTAATTGTAGTAAGAACTACAATTTATAGGTTTTTTTTAGTTGATTCAGTGGGAGTTTATATCCAGACATTAATTACTCATCAGTTTTAGATATTGCAGGTACTCCTCCTATTCTGCTATCTGTACGCTAACTTCACCTTTATGGGTAGATATTTTATATTTTGGTGTAATGAGACTTATCTTCTTTTCTTCTGCTTTACGATTTTGTAATTTTGGAGATTTGATTAAATCCTGTCTTACTCCTGCCACAAAAATATTCTCTCTTTACTCCTTTGATTTCATAGTTAGAGTTATGACCTAAATGTGAAGTTCATTTTTGTATGGAGTATGAGGCAGGAATGCTAGCTAGTCTCAAATAGCCCCAGTGACCCTTGACACCCAGGATTCACACCCTGTGGAGGTCCCTCCTGTGTTGGCCATGTGTGAACAATTGAATGTGGTAGAAATGTCACACGTTAACTTCTAAGACTAGGTCAAAGTCAGCCTTAGAGCCTCTGCTCATCATTGACCAGCCACATGAGAGAGCCTTCGTGGATGGTCAGACCTGCCAAACCTTCAGATGACTTCATCCTCAGCAGGCACCTGACTGCAACCCCATGGATGATCCCCAGGGAGACCAGTCAACCTTCAGAACCATGAGAAATCATAATTTTGGTTTCCAGCTGTGGTGGCTCACACCTGCAATTCCAACAGGAGGACCTCGAGTTCAAGGCCAGCCTGGGCTACATAGTGAGACCCTAATTCTAACAATAATAATTATTATTATATACTAATTGTTATATACTAATTGTTAACATATTATATGTTATATAATAATAATAATTGTTTTAAGTCACCAAATGTCAGGATGATTTATCTGCAGCCATAGACAGCAGGAACAAAACTTGACACCAGGAAGTAGGCTGTCACCATCAGAACAAGCTTCATGTCACTCCATGCTGTTTTAACATGGTGTATCAGGTTGGGAATGGGTGGTGGGAGAAGGTGGAAGGAAAGATTTAAGGACAGCAAGATTCTGCTTTCAGTTAGGATACAGAAAGCTGTAAAGTACGTTGCTCCCACATTAATAATGAGAAAAGGCTGCATGTGTAATTACCCCTTGGTGTCCACGGTGATTAGCTCCAGGACCCCTTGGATATCAAAATCTTGGGCTATAAAATGGTGTATATTATACAGAACCTATGCACATCCTTCCACACACTTTCAATCATCTCTAGATTACTTATAACACCTGACACAATGGAAATGCCATGTAACTAGTTATATTGTTGGTTGTTTTGGTGGTCCTGGGGATTGAATTCAGGGCTTTGTGCTTGCCAGGTAGGTACTCTACTACCTGAGTCATTCTACCAGACCTTATATTGTATTGTTTAGAGAATAATGACAAGAAAAAAAAAACTCTGTTCACGTGAGCACAGATGCAAGTTTTTCCCTGAATACTTTCCATCTGCGCTTGGCTGAATCCTCGGTAAAAGGTTGACTGTACCATAAGATCAGCACCTTTTACGAGCTCACCAGGGAGCTGAGGTCACGGGCAGCCAAGCAGCCTGAATTCCAAGAGTGTCAGGCCCCTCTAAGGGGAGGCAGGTTGTACATACTGGCTCACCTGGGCAGTGCTCAGGGAGCTCTGGGAGGCTAGGGAGAAATCCGTTCAGTGTCAGTGAACTATTGGAAACCAGCTGTGGGCTGGCCATGGGTCCTGGCTAGCAGAGGTCCCAGACCTGGGAGAATTTGCACACTCTGACAGGTTCTTTTCCAAGAATGGGGCAGGATAAGGAGGGAGATCCCCTGGGAGGTGCCAGGCTGGAGGGGAAGGCTGTTGCTGGGGAAAAGCATCCAAACCCACCCTCCTGTCCTCACCTCTTATTTAGAGGAGTCAGAATTTTTTTACTTTTATTTCTGTATGTGCTGTCTGAGGAAGCCCAGAGCAGAAGTCCTAAACATGGAAAGGCCAACAAATCCTGTCACTCCCAGGGCACTGAGGCCTGTGACTTCATTTCTGCTAGGAGCGACAGCCTGTGGCCCTGGGAAAGGTGCAGGAAGCTGTTCTGGGCCCAGGATCCTATGCAATGCCAAGAGAGGCCAGTGCCTCTGGGGAAGAGCTGAAGTGTCCACACG